CTGCTGCCATTTAGTGATTGTCTGATGATTGCATCCCAGATTGAGATAATCCTTCCTTTGGCATTTAAAAATGGGCTGTACATGTAGTCCTCAATTTACGATCACAATTGAGCTTTATGTTGCTAAGTGAAACATTTGTTCAGTGAGTTTTGTCCCATTTTACGACTTGCCACTGTTGTTAACATTGACATTGAAATTGTTAAGTTAGTAACACGGATGCTAAGTAAATCTGGTTTCCCCATTGATTTTGCTTGTCGAAAGGTCGCAAACACCGATCACATGACCTCAGGACAATGCAACCGTCATAAGTAAAAGATGACAGATCACCTTCCATACGAATGTGCACTGATTTAAAATTATGGAAGAGGGGTGTTCCTGCTTTCTAAGAAATGTTAAGTGGCAGTAAAGGAAAAGGGCTGTTGTGGATTGCGTGTTATGCAGACAGTATGGCTGCATTATGAGAAAACCACTTCTCATAATTGATTTAATCGGAATTTAACCAACTGATTTAACTCAATGATTCCAGTTTTCTGGGTTTTCATGGCACTCGAACCAAAGACAATCCACTGGTTTTGTTAGACTAAACTATGCTAGACTAAACTTATGGTAATTTGTGGTTCCGATGGCAATCACAGATCATATATGTTAAATGCTTCAGTGACTGTAGCAAACACAGTGGTTAATTCTGAGAATATATTATATGCTAGATTATAACAATCTGGGCAACCTAGCATACAGTACATTGTTCTCCAGATGTTACAGTAATGAATTCCAGCTCTCATTAGTCCCCATCCCACCAATACTAAGGATGATGACATTTGCAATCCAACCATATCTGTGGGGAAAGCGAATTGTATATCTTTCTGCTAGAAAAAGAGAAAATATATTTACCAAATTGTGTTACAGTATCTAACTACCTTATCATATGACTTTTCTATGTAAACATTTTTTTCAGATGTACCTTATATAGTAAGCAGTGATTCTACTTTAGTGGATTCCCGAATGCAGTAGCATTTTTTTCAGGTTTGCCTGAAAGTCTGAAAAAAATTATTGAAATGAGTAGCAGTGTCATCTGCCCACACAAGGTTTTCCTAACCAAAGTATACACAGCCCTGAAAATTATTTGCCTCTATATTCATTTTTTAATAGCAGCTTATTATTCTAAACTAATAATATGGATGTAAAGAATTGTATTGTCCAGGAGCAAGGAATTGGTTGGTCACCATTTGTAGTTAAGACTTTTCTTCCTCCAATTGAAATGGCCTGTGTTCAAGTATGGTAGGAATTATAGCCTAACATCTGGTAGACATGGGTTTTCCATATGTATTGTGAACCTACAGAGCAGAATTTGAGTTAAGACTTCATTTGATAAAAAATAATGGGAGAAAAACCATGTTTGAGAGAAAAGGCCTTACTTATTCATTTAAAGGTAAAGTAAACAATGGATAAATTTACATTTCTCATACTTTGGTTGCAGTATTGTTCAAATATCTAGAACACAAATTAAGACTAATTTCTAACAGAATCATCAGAATTACTGCAAAACCTATGAGAAATAACAACATCATACAATTTCAACAGGTAATAAAGTACAAAAAGTGAAGTATTTAGGAGCAGAAAGAGTTTTAGAAGTAAGTTTGTGCAAATAACACCTCAGCAATAAATATGGCAAATACAATAGGGGAAAGTGAGTTTCTTGCAATGTTTGTATTATAAAATAGCTGTAGTGGGCAAAAAGAATTACCTTGAACAAAGGAGGAGGAACCATAACCAAAACAATGGCCAGATAGAAGAAATCTAAACTCAGAGCAGAACATGTACCTGTAATTTGAGAAATATTTCAAACATAGCCCTCCTTAATTCTCATGAAGATAGTGGAAAGGAGGGGGGAGTCTCATTCAGACATGCAAGATTCTGCTACTATAAACTTTTAATAAAAGTAATATTTGATAAAAGTAATATTGGTTTGTGTGTCTTTGGTTTCCAAAGTCCTCTTGGAAACCAACATCAACAAACTATTGAGTTTATGAGTATATGCCGCTCTACCTTTTGCTGCACAGTGAACTGTACTATACAAAACATCTTCCAGAGAACACTATTAATATATTTTTAAAATTTGTCAAGCTGTTGATATGCTAGTAGAACTGTAACATTAGCTTTTATTTTAACTTGCTGGGGGTGGGGTTTAAGCCATCACAGAGCTAATATAAAGCAGAACTTTATTATCAAAAGATTCTAGGAGGTGGATGAAATATGCTGTTAAGATTTGACTATTAGGCAGTTTATAAACTTCTAAAATATATTTGGTCTATTTTCATTGATTTTCACCTCTTTGACTCCCCAGTGCATAGAGGAAAAATGTAAGGAAAGTAGTGCTAGATCAGCCCAAGGGCTATTTTTGACAGTGTTGTGTTTCCAACATAGCAACCAGGTGGTAAAGGGAAGCCTACCAGCAGCACACATTCACAACAGCTTTCTCACTCACACTGACCTGATATTGAGACTTGCTATCTCTGATAATGAAGTAATAACGGCAATGCTTGCTAGCTAGTGATCAGTAACCAGTCTTATCCTCCATTAATATTCAATCTCCTTTTAAAATTATCCAAGCTTTTGGTCATTGCTATAGAGTGGGAGAGCAAGTTCCACAAATTGTGTACTATGAAGAAGTACTTTCCCCTGTCTTGAATATCCACTATTCATCTCATTTGATCTGGCTGTCTAGATTGGGGGGGGGGCTTCCTCCCTCATTGTTCCATGTACATTCCTCCTGAAGCTGCCTTCTCAGTTAAAAATGATGACCATTACAAATAGAAGTGTACTGTTCTTTTACATTTAAGATGTCTAAAAATCTTAAAGTTGCCAAGTTTGAAAAACACTGCTTACCATACTCTACCAGATATTCAGATCGTCCTAACAAAAGTATTGCTATGTTTTAGAGATTTGCCCCTCTATGTATAGCTGTACCTGACTGCTTTTTATCATTATTGTGCACTAGCAGCTAGACCTTATTATATAGTGCCATCTTGAGGTGAAAGAAATAATCATTGCATTAAAATTGATGGACAGTGTTTATTAAAGTAATTTTTTTCACAAATATCCAGTAATGCTGTTTATTTGAATGCTTTTCTTATTTATATTCTTGGTTGTTTTATTGATACACTGGGCAACTAAGTCTGTAATTCCAAGATAGCATGACTGTTTTAGCTGGGTATAATAAAAATTAAAGTCCAACTGATCTAGAGGTCACCAGATTGAAAACAGCTGCCCTAATCTTTAGATGTAAAAAGGACAAAACTGGGAAAGGGAGCTGTGGATTGCAAAGAAAACTGCATCCTCTCCCCATCCCAGTGTGTCATTGAGAGCCCCCTCCTTCCAGAAAGGAAGAGGGCTCAGCTCACTGATCAATCACCAGTGTTGGCCAGCCAACCCTACCTCACCAGCATGAATATGAGATTCTCTCATTCTTCCTTTGCTGCTTGCTGCCATTAAGAGATTTCAAATTTCAGCCTCTGTTCCAAAGCAGCCAATCAGCATTCCCCCATTGGACTTTGCCACGAGTTAACTGGGCGCGGCAGTGGAGTGGAAGTGACTTCCAACTTCCTGCCAGTTTCCTCATTGACTTTGCTTATGGGAAGCTGCTAGGGAGCATCAGAAATCACTCCTCCATGAGATATTTCTGGCCATCATCAAATGTTGCGCATGCGCGCGCACACAAACACACACACACACACACACACACACACACACACACACACACCAAGGTCACATGACTACATTTTGGTTGCATAGTAACTAGTTCAGACGTACTACAACTGGTTGTATTATTCCATGGTCATGTGATAGCAATTTCTGAGTTTTTTGCAAGTTTCTGGCAGAAACATTTTGTGAGAATGGATTTGGATTTATGACTGCATGATTCACCTAACATCATGAAAACAGTCATAAAATAAGACCCCATTATGTAGGTGCCTTGACTTATGACAGTTATGAGTTATAACTGGCCTACCTGTTGTGGCCCGTCAGCAGCCTGTGCAGCTAGTAGCTGATTCCGACAGCGAGGAGCTGGTGTGCTGTGCCAGCAGCCTGTGCAGATGGTACTCGAGTCAGACAATGAGGAGGCTGGAGATGATGTGGTGCCAGAGGCGGGGATTCAGCCAGGACCTTCAGAACCTCCAGAAGCTCCTATAAATGAAGAGGAAGAAGAGGAGAAGCCTCTTCTCGATGCACGGGCGCACAGAGCTGCCAAAAGACTGGAGTGGCTCCTCAGGAAGAGGTCTCCTCGAGAGTAAGGCTTGGGGCTAATTGGCCACTCCCTTAGCCTATTTAAGGAAGGACGACAGCTGAGGCAATTTGCAGGAAACAACTTCGTTCACTCTCCTTCGTGTCTTGATCTTAGTTCTCTTATCAGTTTCCTGTAAATTGCTTCTGGGCTTTCTGCCAACCATAGTAAGATTACGATTATTTCTTCTTTGGATTCTTGTAGGCTGTTAAGAAAGTTAATTAACACCCTTTGTTTGAAAAAGACAGATTTAATTTAGTAAACTAAGGTTTGTACAGACTTTGGGTGTGCTGCGTTCTTTGGGGTCCATAGCTGGGGCAGAACACTACCGGGCCTACCGGGAGTCAGGAAACGGGCCATTTCCAGCCTCCCGAAGCTTCAGGGAGGCCTGCTAGGCCCAAAACGGGGTCCGGGGGGGTTGTGCGCGCATGAGCAGGGGGACTGGGCACGGGGGCATTGAATTATGGGTGTGGGTATGCACGTGGACGCTATCTCATGTGCACACTTTCGGCACCCGAGGAAAAAAAGGTTCGCCATCACTGCAAGTCTCTTGTGATATTTCTTCTTGATTTTTTTCTAAAGGATTGGTTTATTTATTATTTATATAAACAATTTATATTTCTACCCAGTCCATGACATGACTCTGAGTTTACAAGCAAAAACAAAATTTAACCAAGTACAATCCAGAAATAATAACAGCAGTAATGTTGATATATAATATGGTCTAAAACAGTCCATTTAATCCATATAAAGACCAAACAATCCACCAAGAGTCCAACAATCCACTGATTCAACCTCTCAATACATGTACGTGAGGCTTAGACAATTTGATCCAGCCCAAAACCATGCACATTTTATCTCCCATAATTTTGATTTATTTTAAATTTTGCAACCCACCTTCTTCAAGTTCATTTACATTTGCAACCGTATCCTTCTGAGGAAGAAAGGGGATATCATTACAATTAATAGACCCATATCTTAGCTGCTTCATTTCCAGGTGGTACTTTTCATTTGATGTGGTTGTCTCCTTCATTTTTAGCATCTCCTCATCATCTTCATCACTTTCATTTTTCTGAAATAGCCCAGATAATACATTATGCATTGTAAAAACAAAATATATTGTAGAAAGTCCTGATGGAGAAAGGCAAGAATGACTGATAATCACAGGTTTCCCATTACTTTTCAGATATATTTTTTTTATTAGGATGCTTTGTAGATTTTATGGTACATGTTTTATTAGAGAATGCTGATTTAAAATGAAACATTACATGCTTTTGATTCATGCACAGATAACTAGATCAATCCATAGCGTAATTAATGTGGAAAGGACTTGAACGTAGTAGAATGAGGAGGACTATGCATTCAAAAAAGTATCAGCATCAAGATTTCATTTTGAAGCAGCAGAGAGAAATCTCGGTGCTGATACTTTTGTGAGTGCATAGTCCACCTCATTCCGCTAAGTTCAAGTCCTTTCCACATTAATTAGGCTATGGATTGATCTAGTTATCCATGCATAAATCAAAAGCATGTAAAGTTGGATAAATATCACTGTATGAGCATTATAGAAACACCCAATTTTTTTGGTATGTCTGTATAAGGGATCTCCATCAAAAGTATATTTTTCAAAAGTCATCTTAATTATATGATTATTTTTTTTCTGATCCCATTTACTACATTTTTGGAACATATAGACCATGGCCACTCTAAAGACAAGTTGATCTTATGGTGTGTGTGTGTGTTTGTATAACGATCTTCTATTATAATACTAGGATTAATATAATACTCTGATTTTTAAAAAGTAGCACAATCAATGTCATGTGACCCAACTTGGTACAGTAGGATGGTTTCTCCCCTTATCTATCATCTGTGGAATAAGGACATTGTTATTGCCGGATTGTACAAATACTTCTGAGTTTTACTGTTAACATAGCCAAAGTTTCGTATTATGATATTGAAAGGACCCGTGGTCACTGTTTTTTAAAAAAACTTTATGTCACCCAGGTTTTACTTTACTCTTCATAAATTTTATGGTCTAATAAGCTAATTGCATTTGGGGCATATGCTTCTAGCTACTCTATCACACGATCAGATTTTAAATATCCCAGCCTCCAACAAAATACCAACTTTACAGAGCAAACAGGTTTCTCAACATTACAAGCTGACCAGTAACTTTGCTCTGAACTCTTTGAAAGTTATTAAAACAAAAGTTGTGAGAAGTTGTTACATAGGTGCAGTAGTTTATAAGGATCAACAACCTGGACCACAAATCATAATTATGCAGTAATTTGCAAAATACCTGATTAGTAATGATTTCTTAAAGGAATAAATGTTTGAATGCATTTTTAAAGATAAGCCATTTTTTTTTTTTTACTTTCTTCCTCTTTTCCAATCTTTTCAGGGACAAGGACATATCAGGGAATTTCCAAACAATTATAAAAAACAAATAAAAATTCAGTTGGAGTAAGGGGCTTCCCAGTTATAAAGGAAAATGTCTGCAAGCATATTGATGCCTATAGTCACCATTTGGGGGGGGGCATAAGTACTGTATGAAGCTTTTAAAATCTGCAGTGACTCTCTTACAATCCTAGGATTTAAGCTCAGCTTTGAACTCAATGACTGATAAGTAGTTTAAGGACAACAGGAAGCATATATTCACAAAGTTTTATTGATATCATGCTTTTTTCCTTGAAATCTGGATGGGAAATAGTTAATCCAAGAATGAGAATACAACAGCTCTGACATTTATTACACAGAAGATAGGATAACAATAATTCTAGCAAATAATCTATTTTTAAAATGAAACACCTCTATATTAGCAATTTAGGGCAAAACCCCTCATTCCTCCAGCTGAGGATATTCTGCTTCATTAATATAGTAAGAGCTCTGAGATAATTTTTAAAGAACAAAATCTACCTCTAGCTCATTTAAACATAGATGGTCTCCAAACTAAGCAAGAATATGATGATGTCCAGAGAAAGTTGCTTCCTTTTTTTCTTTTACAAATGCCATGAATTTTTCGGCCGTTTTTGGCAGTCAGAGTGCTGCAGGAGGCCATGGAGGCTGAGAACAGGCTGCGGGGTGGGGGGGCATGTCCAAGTGCTGCGTGGCCCGTTTTTGGCCAGCAGAGTGCTGCTGGAGGCCAGGGAGGCTGAAAACGGGCCACTTGCTTGAGGCCCTTACATTGCATTTGTTATATTTACCTTATTTTGTGTCCTGTAGTATTCATCCACTGCATACTGATATTTAGCTTCATTGAGTCCAAGGAATGTGGCAAATTTCCCACCAAGAAAGTCACAAGCTGTAAGGATATTGGGGGGAAAAAAGTAATTTGAACAAGTCATAGATTTGTGTGTGTGTGCAGATATGCAAGTATATATGTGGAGTATGAGTACAATCAGAATCATCTACAATCATCTATTAGTAGATAGTGGCCAGTATTAGTCTACAAATGTTTCCTTATCACATGCAATTTATTTTCTGGTTGTTGGAAGAAGAAAATAAATTCTGTGGCTGGGGCACAATCCATTATTAATTTCTTTGTAAAGGTATAAGAACATATAGGTTTTCTCAGGAATTGATGATGATGTACTAAACATTCTTACCTCACCAGCCTATCACTTACACTTAACCCACCCCCCCCACCCCATATACTTACCAAAAAATGCTGTGGCTACAATTTGAAGTGCCCAGCTTCGTAGATAATTACCCCAAGAGAGATTGGCCTATGAATAAAGCCAGAGGTCTGTTGGTAACAATACAGAGACTCATCTGCAGCTGCTACAAAGCAATCATACCATGAGGATGCATTTTGGAGCAAGATCATAGGCTTCAGTTGCAAAAAGAGAAAGAGGAGGTTATTGCTGTATCAAAACTGCAATCAAGTGCTCACTTTTGCTGAAATTTCACTTTTACATTATATAAAGAAAAGCATCATTTTCCTGAAAAAAAAAATCCCAAACAAAATGTAATAGTAATAGGCAGTGGTGGGTTTCAAATTTTTTTACTACCGGTTCTGTGGGTGTGGCTTGGTAGGTGTGGCATGGCTTGGTGGGCATGGCAGGGGAAGGATACTGTAAAATCTCCATTCCCACTCCACTCCAGGGGAAGGTTACTGCAAAATCACCATTTCCTCCCGATCAGCTGGGACTTGGGAGGCAGAGAATAGATGGGGGCGGGGCCAGTCAGAATTTTTACTACCGGTTCTCCAAACCACTCAAAATTTCCACTACCGGTTCTCCACAACTGGTCAGAACCTGCTGAAACCCACCTCTGGTAATAGGGCAATTCTCTTCCCACACCCCCCCCACACCAAAAGTATTTCTCAATCTTATCTTCCCTTTTTGTCCTTTTTCATGAATAAACGGTAACCTCCTTGTGCCCATGAAATAGAATGGCTATCGAATAGCAGAGCTTCTAATAGAAGGCAAGCAGGACCAAAAAAAACCAATCAAGGCTAGGAATTAATATTTAATATTACATGAGTAAAATATATCACCTTTATCAGCAGCCAAGAAATCCAGCAGGAAGACAAAGATTTTTGCAAACAATATATATTTCGTATACAGGTTTTTTTCACATATTGAAAACACACACATCATTTATCATCTAGTAAGGTACTTAGAAACGATAGCTGAAAGGTCAAAAATCTTATTCTAAAATATTTTTGAAGTTCATCTCACTTCATTAAAAAGTCTTAGCATTTGTGTCACTGCGGTTGATCTGCTCCTTTCTTTTCTGTTCTGACCCAGCTCCCTGAACATGACAAACCCTCTGAAGTTAAACCAATGATTCCTTTATTAGGATCGCCAGAAGCCCTGGCAAAAAGTTTCTCTCTCACCGCAGGCTAACAAGTCTGTCCGGCAGGGAGATGAATAGTTGTCTGCCATATCTATTCATCTCTACCCTCTGCCTTTTATTCCCAGAGCTAGTGTGGGGCTTCGCTAGTAGTGGTGGCTCTTCTGTCCCAAGGATCGGCCCACTGATTTCCACTGCTCTCCTCTCCTCTGTCTTCTGCGCATCCATGTGTCAGGCACTGGACCCAGCTGTTCCTCCTCTTCCTCATTAGCCACCTCCAGACCTGGGGGCTGTTGACTCTCCATCTGAGGGCTAACAGATGGCCCAGGCTCCCCCCTCTGTCTCTCTCTCTCTCTGACAGCTCCATTCCCTCTTCCCCCTCAGGTTGCCCTGATTTGCTCATCTGATTTGGCTGCTGGAGGGGCTGGCGGCCTACAGGCCACAACATTTTCTTTCTTTCCCTTCTATAGAATGCATATAAAACTAACTTCTTCAAAGGAAGTAACAAACCTCAGATTGCAGGAAAAGCTTATTTTCCAGGTGATTGCTGCTGACATGATCAGCAATTGTATTGCTGTTGATTTTCAGTAGTAAAAAAGAGGAGGATCTATAGGTTGCCCTAATGTACCAGCAGTCATACAAATAGATGAAGAAGAAGATGATGATGATACTACTACTACTACTACTACTACTACTACTAATAATAATAATAATAATAATAATAATAATAATAATAATAATAGCCATCGTAAACTCACAGTGTCAAGTAATGGCTTCTGATTGTCCTCCTCAACATCATCTTCTTCTGAACTGCATTCCTCCATTGTTTCACCATTTGCAAAATAAATAATCTTTCCAGGAGATTTATTTTCCTTTAGAGTATTATATCCCAGTTCCCTTCCATCATTCACTTCCTCCTGTTCATCAAAAGGAAAATCAACTCAGCCAAAACAATTTTAGGAAATGATGACAACTCTGATTTTTATTTCATCTTCTAAAAATAAAATAAAGTTTAGTTTAGTTTAGTTTATTTCATTTGTATACCGCCCTACTCCCGAAGGACTCAGGGCGGTGAACAGCCACAAGATAAAAACACATAAATACAAAATTTAAAACAGAATAAAACCGAATTAAACAATTTGGCCGAAGACAGATTTAAAAACATCCCAATAAATTAAAAACAAATTAAAAATTTGCGTTTTAAAAGGGAAAAAGGGAAAAATTAGGCCGAGCCAGCCTGATGGAATAAAAAGGTTTTAAGAGCGCGGCGGAAGGTGTGTAGATCCGGGATCCTCCGTATCTCTGGGGGGAGCTCATTCCAGATAGTAGGTGCCCCCACAGAGAAGGCTCTCCCCCTGGGGGCCGCCAGTTGATATTGTTTGGCCGACGGCACCCGGAGGAGCCCCTCTCTATGAGAGCGTACTGGCCAGTGGGAGACTACTGGTGGCAGCAGGCGGTCCCGTAGATAACCAGGTCCTAAGCCATGGAGCGCTCTAAAGATGGTAACCAAGACCTTGAAGCACACACGGAAGACCACCGGGAGCCAGTGCAGCTCGCGCAGGAGAGGTGTTACATGGGAACGCCATGTCGCTCCCATAACCACCCGCGCGGCTGCACTCTGCAGCAGTTGGAGCCTCTGGGAGCTCCTCAAGGGGAGCCCCATGTAGAGAGCATATGCAGTAGAATAAAAACATAATATTTGTAGCTCAGGGTTGAACTGTGGGGTCCTCGGGGCTCTCTGATCTTGGATGTTTTCCTGCAGATGTTCCATTACCAAACTAGGTAACATCATCAGGGATGTCATCATATCTCCTAGTTAGGTAATGAAACGTCTGCCAAAAAGAAAGAAAAAAGCAACCAAGTTCAGAGAGCACCAAGGACCTCACAGAATAAAAACAGACTTTTCAACTTTGAAGAGTTCGTTTGAAGGCTTCTAAAATTAAACCAAAACCTCAGAAGCAAGTGAGGAAAGTCTGATCTAAATTTTGTGTTGAGAACATTTGAGCAACAAGAAAAGGAAACACATCAATCAATTTGGTGGGAAATAAGAAAAATTGGCATGAGCGTGCTGTTTCCCTCCCACCCCCCATTCTTTTAGGGTGTGCTTATATGTGTTGTTCCTGGAGATATGTTTTATGTGTACTTGAGACTGCTTTCATGTGTTATAGTACAGGGCACTTCATTTGTTCTTTCAATCCTCTGACAAAGAAGTAGTCCTTTGAAATAAATTGGGACCTTTGGTACAATAGTATCAACTGTTATGAACAATAAAAGATGAAATGACCCATTTTAATGTGAATCAAAAATCAGATTTACTACTGTGGCATTGATTTGTTATGATACTATGTACATTAATGCTTGAAAATAGTGAGGGTTGGCTATTTGTACTTTTACTTTTCACTCCAGATGGGCTGGTAAATCAACACACACACACACAAAACTTTCATTGCTGTCTTATTTTTCACAAAAAAAATCAGGAGTAGGTTCTGTTCTTTGCACATGGTTACAATGTTGAAAAAGCTTATGCCAAAGGATTATTAGGATATTCATAAGCCAAATAGTGTCCTTATGATTAATGTGTGCTTACTTTGTTGCTACCCATCATGATTCCAGTCAACTTTCCTTATGACTGAAGCCCAAAGGAAACAAGAGAAAATGAAGCATGCTTCGTTCTTCATTTCTAAATCCATCTTTCAGCGATATTCAACTTCTTTCAAAACAATACTTACCGTAACTATCAGCAGTGAATTTTCAAACCCATTAAAAAGAAAGATTGCACACTAGCACACATTTTAATAATTGTATGCATTTTGTTGTACAATAACATGTTTCCCCAAACAACAAATTTATTCTTCAGCATTATCTTTCAAGTCATTGTTGTAACCTAGACTGCAAAGTCTTTGAAAAACACAAAGTATTTCCTCTTGTATCAACTTCAAAGCAGTCGATATTTGACAGAACGGAACAAGAACTCACCTTTAGAGTTTTGGGGGAATTGTCCATCATGGAAATAATATCGGATTAAAATAATGCTGAGATAGAAGATGTAAAACACATCACTGGGGGTCCATGCAGAGAAATCTTGGAAATAAGAGCATTTCAAATGAGGCCAGCTGAAAAAAACAGTATAGTTTTATAGTTTTATATAGACCAGGATATCCCTTTGTCAACAAGGGTTGGCCAAGTTTGAAATGTGGGCTGGACTTTCTCCTCTTCCGTAATTTAATTACCAAATCTAAATATTTATAATGATAACCAGAAAGCTAAAGGAATGCAAAATGAGACTTTAGAAAATGGCTACACATATGATTACAATCAATACATTCCCATTTTGGGGAGCTATCTTCAGCATCTTCTTTTCACAATCCCCCCCCCCGCTCACGCCCTTTTTAAGTCAAATGCTTTTGTGGTTTAGAAGTTCCGGGAGTACAGTTCTTTTCCAGCAGATCTAATCAGCCACAAACAAATACCGCACCTCTGTTGAAAAGCAACATTATCTGGAACTGTAGATGCTATGCCATCTATGGGCTGCTTTATAGCATTGCCATGTCTTTTAAGACATCATGACATAGCTTGCTGCATCTTAAGGTGAGCGAGGGAACAATATAAGAAGAGAAAACAAGGATGCTGGGGAGGCATGAAAAATCAGTATGGTACCCCCCATCCTTTTTTATAGCAGGGCTTTGATCACGTGTTACTGTTTGCTGTGTGCAAATTGAGAATAAGACATAGGCATCTTATATTCATATACAATCTTCATATATATATTTCCTTTTTGATATTTCCAACAGAGGGCAGTGACTGAAAGGGTACCCCACTGCAAACTTAAAAATTGTGGATCCAGTTGCAAACAACGATGGACTTTTTGAAGTTTTTCTACCAATCTGTATTTATTTCCAGACATGTGTCATGAAATCAAAAAGCCTTGAATTCTGACCATTCTTTGACTACCTGTACTCAGTCTCTCTCTAACATCATGAGTTTCTACTTCTCTCCACATTATGACTCTGATCCATGAAAGCTTATGCTGTAATAATATGTCAGTAATGATAATAATAACAGCTTCTCTTTAAGGTGCCCCAACATTGGGTTTAATAAACAAATCTCACAGTGCAACACTGCCCTCTGGAGAATTTATAACAAAGTACCGTATACATTAGTTTTGTTTGATTTCTCAATAGCCCTCCATTTAATTCTTTCTCCCTCCTTCTGCCCTTCAATAGTAATAATGATCAACCATAAATTGCTTCCTTGCTGCAAATATATGTAGATTGAAAATGAAAAAAATAATGATTTAACATTACAAATCAAGTCCAATGAGGAGAGCTTATGTGAAAAGAATGTACCGTATTTTCCGGCGTATAAGACAACTGGGAGTATAAGACGACCCCCGACTTTTCCTGTTAAAATATAGGGTTTGGGTTATACTCTCCGTATAAGACTACCCCTCTTCCAATGCACACCAAATAAAAATTAAAAAACATCAACTGGCTCACCCACAATGTAAAAGCAGCTGTGCTAGACCCAAAATGACCCCTGCAACAAGCAGGAACCTCACACAGCCCCAAAAAGCCCCAAAAAACAAATTTCACACTTTACACACACACACAACACAACATAACTGGCTCACCCACAATGTAAAAGCAGCTGTGCTAGACCCAAAATAGCCCCTGCAACAAGCAGGAACCTCACACATCCACAAAAAGCCCCGAAAAACAACTTTCACACTTTACACACACAAAATTCCACATACAGCTTTGTGAGATTTTGTGTGTTTGTGTAGTTAGAGTGAAACACTACCGAAACACACTAAATCTCAGAAAGCTGCACAAATATTATTTTATTTTATTTTATTTTTATTTTTATATGAAAACTAAATTTAAAACGTCCTAAACTTTAAATGGCTAGGTCTAAAAAAGAACAACTAAAAAAAAACCCAATTAACTATTTCTTTTAAAGCTCCCAAAGGGGAAAAAAACTTACGCAATAGAACAGGGGTTTCCAACCTTGGCAACTTTAAGACTTGTAGACTTCAACTCCCAGAATTCCTCAGCCAGCTTTGTTTTGCTGGCTGAGGAATTCTGGGAGTTGAAGTCCACAACTCCCTGCCTGCTTGATTGCAGGTAGGGAGTGGCTTGCTGATGGAATGGATTCAGGCAAGCGAAGCAAGGCAAGCGAAGCAAGGCAAGCGTTGCGACTAGCAGCTAAGGTAAGCACGCTGGAGGGGGAAAACTTTTTTCTTTTTACATGGCTCTGGCGATCCCAGCTGCGTTGCCTGATTAGCAGGCAAAGCTGGGATCGTCAGAGCTGGGATCGCCAGAGCCATTTAAAGCTCGTCAGAGCCTTTCGGGCTGGTCTGCCTGGTTACAGGAGAACAGTATAAGACAACCCCCGACTTTTGAGAAGATTTTCATGTGTTAAAAAGTCATCTTATACGCCGGAAAATATGGTATCAGTTCTGGAGAGAACACTATCCAGAACCAGAAATTACAGAACAGAGTCTAGCAGAATGTCAATTTATAATATGAAATGGTTATTTAGAAACATCAGAAGCTTTGCTATTCCACCTTCTTTACATGGACAATCTAAAGCTGTGTGGAAAAGCATGATCTGAAACTGAATCACTGCTCAACAGCCAAAATATTGCAATAGGGTTTGGACTGGCCAAATGTGCCATACTCACCATCAACACAGGATAAATAGTGAAAACTGAAGGAATCAAGATGCTCTATGGAAATAACATCAAAGGATGGGATGGACCTGCTCATTCTTCTGTAATGGAATTCTGGCACTGATGATGATAATATTACTTTGTTTAAATTTATATACCTCCCAACTCTCAGCAACTCTGCCTGGGCAAGAGTTAAAGCAGCTTTTACAGGTATTTCCACATGAATAAACTCCTTGCCTTACCTCTAAAGCACGGGTGTCAAACTCACCATGTTACATTGCCGTCACATTTTGCGACGTTTTTCCCATTCACGGAACTGAGGTGGGTGTGGCCTCTGCATGACGCATCTGGCCCAAGGGCCACCAGTTTGACACCCCTGCTCTAACGAGTCTCACAAAAATTAATCAACATCGAGTTGTGATAGTATTTTGTATCTGATTTTCACAGGTAAATGTCACATTAATATAACAGACATGCAAGAGAAAAAATTGTTGAAAAGTTGCATCTTCTGACCTCCACCTAGACCAGCTTCCTTCAGTCCAGTAAGGTTTTGAACTGTACCAAGAATTGTATTCATTTCTGTAACAGTGGCTACAGAGCCAGTTTACTATAGTGCCGTGATGGCGAACCTATGGCACACGTGCCACAGCTGGCACGCAGAGCCATATCTGCGGGCACATGAGTGTTGCTCTAGCTCAGCTCCAGAGCACATGTGCATGCCACCCAGCTGATTTTCGGGCCTTCCGGGCTACCAGAAACAGGCTGTTTCCAGCCTCTGGAGGGCCTCCGGAGGGGTGGGGAAGTCCATTTTCCATTTTCCTAGAAAGCCTCTGGAGCCTGGGGAGGCCGAAAAACGGGCCTACCGGGCCGTCACGTGCCAAAAGTGGGGGAAGTGCGGGGGATCACCGCACATGCGCAGGGGGGCAGGGGCACATTGAATTATGGGTGTGGGCACGTGCACGTGCGACCCCCCCCATGCTCCCCCTTTTGGCACACGATGGCAAAAAGGTTAGCCATAACTGCTATAGTGGTTAAGGCATCAGCTTAGAAAACAGGAGTCTGAGAATGGTAATCCCACTTTAGGAGCCCTGGTGGTGCAGTGGTTAGAATGCAGTATTGCAGGCTAACTCTGCCTATAGCCAGGAGTTTGATCAGCCTTCCATCCTTCCAAGATCAGTAAAATGAGGACCCAGATTGTTGGGGGCAATCTAAACCGCTGAGGGGGCTGTAAAGTACTATGGAGCAGTATATAAAGGTAAGTGCTATTGCTATTATGCACAAAGCAGTTGGGTGACCTTGGGCCAGTCATTCTCTCTCAGCCCTAGGAAGACGGTAATGGACTTCTGAAATCTTGCCAAGAAAACTGCAGACTTGTCCAAACAGTCACCAAGAGACAAAAACTGACTCAAAGGCACCTCCCCACTAAAATAGTAATTAAGTCTAATGATATTTAGAAGTAGTACAATTTGTTTCTTGATAATTTCCTGGGAGAAAATTAACATGCCAGTCATTTTATTATTTATGAAGTGTTATCAGGCTTACACAGCTTTTATAAAACTGTTTTAAGCCAGGTGTTAGGCTTAGTTCATATATTTCTTAACCAGAAAAGTGTAAAAAGAAGCAGCTCAAGTTGTAAAAAACAGCATGTCTAATTTCCATCTTGTATAGATACCAAATCTAACTCTAGTAAGTCTTAAAATTCTGCAAACATACAAAGAAACAATTTGAAAATATTAAACATAGAACATGTTGAGATTGAATAATTTGATCATTTTTTTAATGAGAAAAGTACATTGGTTGAAAGTAAACCTTTATATACACATACATATATCTTGAGTGTAAAATATTATATATCATTAAAAATCATATTTTCTATATTATATAGGATTCAAAATAATGGTAAACACTTTATCTTGAAAAATCAAACAAGTTAAGGAGTACTTTAATTTATATTTTATTGATATATTTAAAGCCTATAGGCCAGGATCAGGACAAAATGCAACAACAAGGATCGAATAGCATGTGAAGATGCATTTGTCTGCATTCTACAATGGCCAAGTATTAAAATTAATGTATTCATATTCTAAACATAATATAGCTGGAGAGTTTTCAGGAAAAAACAGAATTTTTTTTGTGTGTGTCTGGATTTGTGTGCCATGCATGTATGTACACACAGCCAAAATAATTTAAAATAGTTGAACCATCACAAATATTACATTCTAATTGTAGACGTGCTAAGAAGTCTTTTAAAAATATTCATTACTTCAACTTCCAATTTTATGTAAGGTTCCCAGTGTTTCCATCCTAATTATTGATCAGGATTCAGGTCCACACTTTTTAAAATGTAGCGATTCTGATATCGTTAACCAATAATTTCCTGGGAAATCTTAATAAAAATGCAATGAAAAGTTTTTACCCTTCCTTCCCTCGAAAAATAAATACATGAAAAATCTGATGGCTGCAGATTAGATCATTTATATTTTGTAACACTTTTTTAATGGCCGCCAACCTTGTTAAAGATATTTATAGTGAAACTGATAATTAAATACTGTAATCTTTTGTCTGTTAAAGAAACAAAACATGGCTGTGCAAATATGTGGAACTGAATAAATAAAAACTCTCAAAACATACAATAACTGTAATACAATGTATTACTAACCAGAAGGTTTATCAAGACTACAGTTCCTCACTATACATTGTGTAACTCAGTTATATTTGATCACTATTGAGAAGTGCTTGGATATCCTCAAGATCTTTAAATATCTAGTAAAATATGTACAGAACAAATTTATGTTCATAATTCAAATATTTTCTTGTGACTGATTTATCTTGTTTACTTCAAGCAGGAAAATATTGACTTAGTTTTTTGTGACAGTCAAAATATAGGATTGCAATAGGGCATGCACATCAAATTAATGAATAAACATAAATGGGACAAAATAAATGTCTAAACATTTTGGCCTTAATAAGGATTCCCATTGGTGCTAGGTGATATCCCTAAGCCACATTAAATATTCCCACTAACTGTGTTCAAAAAACAAGTCAGAGAAGTTTACAGAAGTTACCATGAACAAATCCAATATATAAATTAACAGATTTGATGTTAATTATACCAAGCACATATCAACTGCAGTTCTCCACTTTGAAATGAAATCTTATCAAATTCCATGTGAAAATTCTTTAAACATTTGTTATCTATAATTTATCTGTTATTGATTTTTTTTAATATCAGAAAACAACGTTTTCCGCTGGCAGCAAATACATAACTGTTGGCAACAAACTGCGTACTGTAACTTTCTAATTACATATGTATATAAGGAAGATATATAACTGCACAAAGAAAATATCCGAAACAACCCTGTTTGTAGTTTTGTATACCATGAAATAATATTACTGAAGTCTTACAGTACAAATCTCTCACATTTGAACAGTGGAAACCAATAAGCAGAGATAAAGGCATGTTTTTACATTTCAGCTTTACTGCCAAATAAGACTTGTTCTTGGTATCACCTTTTTGAATCTTCTGGTATCTATCTTTCCAATTACATCAATAAAACTCATTTTTGTGCGGCAGTTTCTCCAACTTTAGCATGCTTTAATATATTTTATTCAAGTTTTTTTCCTACATTTCCTTGTGTCATAATTCTAAATTTTTAATAAATGATATTTATTATGGAAAGCCTCTTTTATTTAGGGAAACGCCCTTACTGATTTGACATAGCAGTACTTAAAACTGACTCCACAAAGAGAGACTTCATAGAATTGGTTGAGTCTATGAATTTGAAATCACTTTTACTTTGATTTCATTTGTAAAATTTGAAGTGCAAAGACGGCAGCAATCCATATTTCTGCAGAAACTTAATTTATACTGTCTAGAACTTTCCTGTGCTTAACTGTATTTTCCTCGTTTGTACTATTATTTTGAATAATTTGAGGCTTGAATAATTTGTCTTTTAAAACAAACTAATACATTATTGTCTTGTTTGCTTCACTGTTGTGCAGACCTTACAAACCCTGAGCAGAGCCTCAATCTCATCCCTTGCCATTATTTGTTCCAGAATCTAATGCCTGCTCATCTAAATGCTAATTTCCACTATGGTCCCAATCTTCTTCCAATCTAGCTTTAATCTCTTCTTCAATTTCTTCTTCTGAAAGAAAGCCATTCAACCCAGCCAATATTCATGTGCACGTATGTATGTGTGTACATGCGCGCGCACACACACACACACACCAAGTTGAAAAAGAATCTATTTTGTTACAGTAAAGGCAGCCAGAAGAACTAGCAAACAGGACAGGCAATAATAACCCTAAAGTTTACAGAACGCAGTTTACAAGGAATAGTTCTTTGCAATTGAGGATCTTATGAGATCTGACACCCTGTGTCTTTTTGAGGCTTTATATCTGGTTCTTTCATAGGTTTCACTTCTTCCTCTGCCTTTGGTTTAGCCTATTAATAAAAGAAAAGTAGAAAAGATTATGTTGGATTGGGGGTACAATAAAGTAAAATACTTTTTTTAAAAAATGGCAATAAAGCTTAAGCTTTTCAATACACAGTCTTTGAGAAAGGGTAAACCCCCCATCCTTTACAGGACTTTGTCACCTACCCCTCTATCCTCAGCATTTTTCTTATCCTGAGTAAGAAAGAACCAATATAAAAACTGAACATTACAGATAACACTGGTGAAAAAAAGCAACCTGTTTGTGTTCTTACACTGTCCTCCTTTGGCCTTTTGGTGAGATCAAATGCAGCAAGGGATTCTGGGGACCACTGAGCATGCACAGCCGGAAATTCAAAAGCAATTGGCTCAACTAGACCATAGTTTGCTTTCAGCTCAAGCTGGGGAGCCTCTGGAGGAATCTTCTGGAAGTAACTAAAAGAAAACCAATTTGAATGTTAGCAGTCCTAGTTTTTTCCACGTAATTCCGTATAGTTTAGGAGCAAATTAATGGTACACATAGTTTGCATAATTTAACTGCATGCAATTCACAATCTACACTCCACTTTCACAAATATGACAGGTGCTAAACACACTGAAGATTATTTTTATAACCACATGTACAAACAAGTCAAAGCAGAATCCAAGACAAAGAAGGGTTTTAGCACTCCAACTGGCTGAATAGAAAATTGATTCCCCAAATTACTTCATTGTGGCCAGTCAATGTTAGAGGAAAAAAAATCATTGCCCTTCCATTATATATTATGGTTTAAATAATGTTAATTGTTGAATTAAAGAATTATTCTGCTCAAGATAGAACTGCCTCATTTTTTAGACCTGAACATTGCATCTCTCTCTCTCTCTCTCTCTCTCTCTCTCTCTCTCACACACACACACACACACACACACACACTCTTCAGTGAAAAAGCCACATGTTGTTTGCTTAAAAAAAAGACAGAGAAAAAAAATGGGAAGAATTGGCAGACAAGGATGAGAAATGATGTACCTGCATAGTAATGCAACTGTACCTGTATCAGATATCATATCATTATATTTGTATTCTAACATTATGATGCCTGTTGTCATCACTTTGTAACTGTGGTTTGTTGCAGATGTCAGTGAAACTAGTACTTGGTTTGAGAAAAACTAAGTTCCACAAGTTTCCCAAGGCCAATCTGTTGAGACAGTACCCTGAAGCCAGTGGCAAATCTCAACAAAATTGTTCATCTGGGCCAGGAAAGTTTCCCTTTCCAGTGGCATCTGCAAATACTGTATGTCTGCACCATTATAAGGCAATAGATTTTAAGCAAATCTCTCACTGATCAATTTGTAATCGGCAATACCATTCTTTGGCTATTTCCTTAATTCTAAGGAGTTTTGGTGGAAAATTGCTTAACACATTGTAAGCCGCCCTGAGTCTCCGGAGAAGGGCGGCATATAAATCAAATTTAAAAAAATAATAATCTTAGAACAGCATTCCCTTAAGGCATATTTGTAGAGGGGGAGGAACATTGCCTTTGAGTTAGGGTAACTCCCCACACAAGTCCATGCAGTTTTCCTGGTGGCATTTTCAGAAGTGGTCTGCCATTTGCCTCCTTCCTAAGGCTGAAAGAGAGTGACCAGCTCAAGGCTATTGCTGAGCACATTGTAAGCCACCCTGAGTCTCCAGAGAAGGGCGGCATATAAATCAAATTAAAAAAAAAAAAAAAAGGCTGCCCAATTGGCTTTCACGATTAGGCCTCAGTTTTCCCACACAGCCCCTCTAGAATAATTTGCTGAGGCAGTCCAATAATGGGATACTTAAATATGTTCTTTATATAAGTAGCCTATTATTGGCCTCACTTTTAGGGGATAAACAGGTATATATATCTGTACTGCTTTACGCAGACAATGAGGTAATTCTATCACAAAAACCAGCTGGTTTGAGAAAAGCCATGAAGTTGCCATTCCACATTAGAAGGAGGTTGCCTTGCGGACCACTTGGAAACTGCAGGCAATCCAGAATTTAGTGGCATGGGCAGTTAAGGGCATCTCATTGTATGCCCACGTAATATAGTTGTTTCATGAGCTACAGTAGTTACCTGTGGGCTTCTGTATACAATCCAAGTGGTAGTCATTACCTATAAAACCCTTCAAAGCACAGAACTTGATTATATGAGAGACCATTTGTTTTCTATAGTGTCTGCCCATACCATTCAATCAGACAGAATTGGCATTCTCCAGTCCCACTTGTTAGCAGTGTCATCTGATGGGACTGAGAAAGTAGGCCATCTCTCTCCCAGCATCTATCCTCTAGAACAGGGGTGTCAACTCGTGGGCCGGATGTGACACAGGCTGGCCACGCCCACCCCTGGTTTAGCGAAGGGGGAAAAGTTGTGATATGTCAACGTGACAATGTGACACCACAAGTTTGACACCCCTGCTCTAGAATGACTCCACTTTGACCTTATTTAAATGAGGCCTTAAAACCCGGCTCTTTCCCCAAGATTTGGACTACAGTGAATGTCATTTCCCAAAGTAATTGGTCTGTTAGAGTTTGTCAGTTTGTTCCTGGATGTTTGTTTTTATATTGTATGCCATCTCAAGACATGATAAAGTTGGGTGGTCTATCAATTTATTAAATATATGTTAAAAAGATCAGACACTAAGCTATATTTGTTTGAAAAAAGTATTACAAATATACAGTACTTACATGAATCCATTTTCTCGCTGAGATTTTTCTAAGGCATTTTTCACTACAGTTCCTAATTTCACAAAGAAAAGATGTCCAGATGGCTTCGCTGTAGTCCCTGGCCCTTTGGTTTCACCATATTCTTTGCATAGTTTTTCCGCCTTGGCATAAACTTTACAAGAAAGCAAAGAGTCAGTCTGTGTTCTTACTACTTTTTTGTACAATTTTTAACAAAGTGCAGTACTTCACTTTGTAGTCTATTGTATTCAGTCAAGATGCTGTATTCAGTCAATAAAATGTTAGGACAGATACAAGGATATTAGCTACTCAGGGATGTTGGTTGGCAGCTACAATTACATGGAAAAAGAACATGTTTTGGAAAAAAGTGTATTGTTTTATGTTTATTGTTATGTTTTTCATTCCAAATCTGATTATAAAAACAAAACCACAATTTTTATGAACATATATTCTAATTTTTTTTAAAAAAAAAAAACCAGGACATGATCATCTCCTTGCAGATTAGACTGTCACAAGAAAATCTATCACAGTAATCCTTACATCTCTCAAGAATTAAAGTTATGCTTTGATTATTCAAATGTATAGTTTCTTGAGAACTTACTGGTTTTAATTTTTAGAAATGCCAAGGGGAAAACATTTATTCTATGAACTATGAAAAAGCACTTACATTTTTCTGCTTCTTGTAGAGACCTAATAGATTCTCCACATTTATCACTGGCCAAGAGGGTCTGGCCATGGTAGCAAAAAGCCTGGGGAAAGCAAGACTTTCTTTAATATGCTTGGCATGCTCTGGAATTACCTTAATTCCTTACTTGCTTTAGCAGTGAGGGCAGAAGAATGAACTTCAAGATTTGGAAGGCACAGAGCTAAGAGAGAACAATTAGCTGTTTCTATAGCTCTTACTGCTATGGTACTCTGCAAAATAAAGGCAGGCTGTTCTAGCTGCACATGTTCACCAACACATTTACAGTAGCAGAAGACTTTGATATATGGCAGTTAAGTACAATCCATTAAAAAAAGAAAAGTGCTTGCTTTATGTTCTCAGCTATCCCAGCACATAGCAAAAGGGGGAAAAATGCATGAAAATGGGTATTTATATTCTGCCATATTTTATTTCCTTATTTGAGACAATATTGTATACTGTTCCCTTGCTGAACAGACTCATGGGGCAAAGAAATGTCTATTACTTCAAATGACTTAAATTTACCAGCTACCATTAATCGGTAAATGGGATTTTGCAAACAGAATATACATGAGAAAATATACTTTACAGATAACAGGGAATACACTTTGAAAGAAAGCAGCAAACATCAAATTGCCGAACAGCTGGTTTGGTTCACTATTTGGAGAAAGTATGCTTGCTTTAAATTCAGATAAAACTCAGCTATGCAGATTTGGTCAATTAAATTTAAAGTCCACTATCTTGAGGTCCATTAAATCAAAGGTCTACTACATACCCTTTCACTCTTAGTCCCATTGAACCAGGAAAAGCTTGTATATGTAAATTAAAAACCACTTGTCTTCTGCTGTTGGTCCAATAAGATCAAACAGAGGTGAAAACTCCAGGCTCCACCTTTAAAACATATCATTTGATAGGTCCCAGGTTGCATGTTTTCTTTGTCTCAAGACCTGGCTTTTGGAATAGCAGCTTCCTGATGATAAGAGCAGTTTGGATCCTGCTGTCTTTTAAAGGAGTTCTGAAGGCCTCACCCACCCACCCCAAACTCTGGTTTAGGGGACTGAGTGCCTTCAGAACACATCTGTATTAAAAATGCTAAGTATATTGATCCCCTGGTGTCACCATGTTTTATTATTTTGGATTTTATTGTTTAGGAATCATGAGTTGAGTTGCCTTTGATTTATAAATATATGAACTCTAAAAGACTTACAAAAAATATTCCCTGAATAACATAGATTGCTATTTTATGTAACAATTTCATAGCCCTTTGAAAATTGTTTTTAAATTGTTTTTAAAACCCCAAATACTCACATAAGCCATATAGAAGCATGACTTCAACTGAAGGTATTTTCTCCATTTCATTGTATATGCTGGATCCATACTAGATAACATTTGATCTAGGAAAAGGTAATGTTGTTTTTAAAATAGTAACCTATTCATTAATTTATCTATTTGCAATCATCATCATCATCATCATCATCATCATCATCATCATCATTTTAGCCATTGTCTATCCACTGCAGGATGAAGGCCTCTTCTGCATGTTTCCCACCAATACAGTCCTGAGTTTTCTTTTGCCAATTGGGCCGGCAATACTTGCTGATATTGTCGATCCATCTTGTATTTTAGAGTCCTGCTTAAAATCAAAACATTTCTGTAATGATACATTTGTCCACGAATCAGAGATATATTCTAAGCCACAAGAGTGAAAGATGTATGCTGACTTCTTGCCTTCAGTCACCATAAAAACGAAAGTAAATAATAATCAAGCAAGTTTATTTGGCCACAGATTTCATTTTTTATCCATGGTACTTCCTTGGTGCTCTGTCCACAGATAAGATTCTATGCCTTAAAATTGGTATCAAATATTCACCAACTTTTAAGTAAGTAATAATAACATACCTGCTTTTTGGTAGAAATTGGCTGTTTCATAGGCCAGGGCTGCTATTAGACCAGGATTATGTTTCAGCTCAATAGCCCGGGCAATTGTCACTAAAACAAAAATAAGAAACTACTGTAAACATCACGTTGCATCCCATTTATTTCTCTAATTGCATAAACATGGACAATTTGTTAAACACATAAAACCTACTTAGAAAGCAGTATATTTGTTTCTCTTTTTTCTTACTTCTAATGTTGTGAGAACTGAGTTGAAACACTAGCCTATGTGAGAAGTGAGTCTCTGTCCTTGAATTTATATTCTAATATTTGGAGAATGGGACTGTTGCATAAGCAACTGTTTTGTGTGTGAAATTGTAATCAATTCCATTTCCGTGTTCACTGTATATATGTGTGGAATAAGAAGTCCCTACAGTAGACAGTCAGGAGGATGGGAATGGAAATGTTCTAATTCATGGGAATTTACGATTCTTGATGGCAGATCTGGGTCTGACTCAGATTGCCACAATGCCAGCATGCAAAGCAGGACTTCAATTTGCTCTGGCACATTGATAGGGGAGGTGGCCTGGATATTTGGAAGAGGGGGATGGTTACAGTAACCTCACGATATAGATTCCCATCTGGTGAAGCTTGGTGTTAAAGCATATTTATTGTATAAGTTATGGTTTCATTGAGACAACAGATGTTCTTAAATGCTCACAGGGAATGTCCAGGTACTAGAATCAAGGATGCTATGTGACGCCACTGACTTATGGAGTAGGGAAATGGAAGATGCCATTGAAACCCTTGCCCCTATCCAGTGCTATGGATTCCAGTCTTCTTTTTAATACTTTGGTGAACACTGACTAATTAAAAAAATGGGATTACACCTATATCATAAATAGTATAAGGCTTGTCATTTTCTATGACACTATCACATCCATCCTAAAGTAACTTTTTCTGTTTTCTATGTGGGACTCTGCTTGTACTTATTTGGGAAATTGGTGTATATAATGTGAGATACTCAGTAAAGCATCTATGGACAGATTCTGTCAAAGCAAATACATGGTTGTCAATTACTTACTAAACCAAAATTCTGCTGGCATTCTAAAAATCAGAGTATAATTTCTAACACACCTCTTCACCACTAGAGACCCTGTTAGATTTTTAAGGTCATCAGAGATACTTTTGCCACCTGTGTCGGACAAGTATTATGTTGTGATGATATGTGGGTAGGCTTGCATTTTGGGATTTTTTTCCCTCTGAAATTCATGATGTGCCTGTTATTAAACAATTTATTACATTGTACTTTTCATTAATAATTCCATGGATGCTGCATCTGAAAGGAATTAAGGGGCAATGTAATACACTATGTCAGACTATGTCCTACCATTCAGTTCTCCAGCAGAACAAATTGTTTTAAAATCCTCAGAGAGGAAGCCCCCAACATTTCTCAGATGCAAAGTTAGTAATATTGCATAAATACCTTCTTGTGCTTCAGCTTGACATTGGATAATATAAGAATCTATTAGTCGAGCTTCTAAATCCCTTCCCTTTTCTACAGGAGTGATCAATTTAGGGATATGGCTTTCCTAAATGGAAAAAAAAAAGCACTTTAGTATTGAAAACAGTGGCTGTATTTAATTAACCAATGAAGCATCTAAACATTTATGAGAACTTAATAACTACAAAGCATACCCATATAAAAACTGCAACCATTCTACCAGATATCTATCAATGATTTAAGAATCACATCTAATATTTTAAAATCTCCTTCATTGGAACACTTTGTTTAAGGAACAATTTTTTAAAACTTTCTATCTAAGCGAGGAATAATGGGAAACATGTTCATATCCCATGTAAATTTCAAAGTGGAACAATTCTAAGAAGATAGTCTGTGTGTTCTACCTGAACATCTGAAACTATTCTTAACCCTATGATTAAATAAGCTTTTTTAAACAACACATGAATCCTAATGAGCTGCTACTAAGAAGAGGAGCTGTGCATGCTTCAGAAATGTTTTGGAAGAAGTGTTTCAGAATCCACATATGCACTGCATATTTCTATCCATTATTAATGCTACCTTTCTTTTTTCAGGCATTTATGCCAGCTTTAAAAATTGCTATTTTAATCTTGCATTCAAGTCAAAGAAAATGCAATTTTTTGGGGGGGGGGTGTTTTACCTTTAAATGTTTGAAAATCCCAGCTGCTATTTTCATACTGCGATGGACATCTTTTGCTTCATCTTCTGTTACGCTAAATGTTAGCAATTCATTAGTATTTAAATACTTCAGTTTTAAACATCATCCATGAAATTTCTTAATATTATTGCTAGCCAAGTTCTTTTACTATTTCAAAAAGTATTGTTTCCTTATTTCATATTTGCTCAGCAAATAATATATTTCTAACAAATCAGAAAAAATTGAGTAATACAGAGAACAAATGTCAGCCTCTTTGGTCCATCTAATCCATTATTGTCTACTCTAGGATGCAGAACTATGATGCACACTGCTGAATAAAAATCTGATTATCACAATACTCTTGTACTTTAACTGGAATAACTTTCAGCAAATGTCACACAGGCTAATGTTTTACTGGATAAGGCATTCATTGTTTAATCAAATTAATTAAACTACTGCATAAGCTATTCATTACTAATTCAAATGTTTTATTTGGCATCTAAAAGCTACAACAGTGATACCAGCCAACTTTCCTGCAACTACAGGTAGTTCTCAACTTACAACAATTTGTTTAGTGACTTTTCAAAGTTACAATGGCACTGAAAAAAGTGACATATGACCATTTTTCACACTTGTGACCGTTGCAGCATCCCCATTGTGATCAACATTCAGATGCTTGGTAACTGGTTCATATTTATGACCGTTGCACTGTCTCAGAGTCATGTGATCACCCTTTGCCACCTTCAGACAAGCAAAGTCAACGGGGAAGCCAGATTCACTTAACAACCATGTCACTAACTTAACAACTGCAGCGATTCGCTTAACAGCTGTGGCAAGAAAGGTTGTAAAACAGAGCAAAACTCACGTAACTGTTTCGCTAAGCAACAGAATTGTTGGGCTCAATTGTGGTCAAAAGTCAAGGACTACCTATAGTCTGGGGCCTGGGCTATAAAGATCTAACAGCTAATCGGAATCTAATCAAATCAAGGCTTCTGACAGGTATTGTGCAAAAAAAAGCCAACTAAGAGAGAAGCATGCACTCATCATACACACTGATTGTTCTCGCATTGTCATATCAGGTGATACTGATGCTATATTAGTTTTTTCTTTGGATTTCATATTTTGGATGAATTTTGTAGACTGAACTACTAAAATACATAAATCAGTTTTCTAAATAAATCAACCGTTGATTCCCAGGACAAGAAAATCACCTTTCTGGATATATATTGAAAAGAAGATGTCATTCATGTAGGACATTACATAAGGAGAATATTCCCAAATAACTAGACAAAAATTATTTCTCTCTTTTACAGTCTGATATTGCAATTCAACTTGATTTACATTTCTAAGTATAAGGCTGGGCCCCTGCAGTTTCACAATAAGAAAGTTGAAGACTATAGATTGAAATGGTTTTACTTTCAATAGCAATTTAGGCTGCAATCCTATGAACAGTTTAGCAAAACCAAACCCACCAATTTGAAATGGGCTTAAGGTATGTTTTTAACCTTCTGACATTACTTTAATTAAAATGAAAATACTTACTCTTCTTTCCCAGCTAATCTTGATGCATATTTAGTGTACCACAAGGCTACATTAAATCCCATAGAAACTAATTCAAACACAGCATCTTGCTGGGCACTAAGGGAAGAAAGGAAAAAAAATCTGTCTTTTGCAGATTTTATAACATTTCTGAAGTACAAAACATTGCAATACTTCCACTTATCTTTTAGACATAAGGCAAAATGCTATAAAATATATTTTCAGGAATGTTACATTGAGTTCAATTGCTTAATTTCTTTTCATTCCTTCCTAACCCAAATCATGGGAGCTAACCTCCAAAGTATTGAAATGTTTACATAGAAGTTGAATAGCTTAAAAAGTGGAATTGTTCTGACTGAAACAATTCGTGTTTTGTTTTAGTCTGGTCAGAAATGCTCAGAGTAGAGTGTTTTTACAGTTCTTCCCTTCAGAATAAAAATACTGAAGTAGCAATCAATCAATTTATCACCATTCTTTTAAAGTGTTTAATTGAGCACTATTAAATTACAAACAACAGTCTTTTTTATAGAAGTGGAAACTTTGCTTGATCCAATATAATACTGAAAAAATAAATGTCATCTTGACAAAAATTAATTTATCTAAGCATATACTGTCACACAAGGGCTTGTTTTTAATTATACAAATCCCAAGGAGATATAATGTTAAGAAATAATCACATATAAAATTACAAAACATATACTCACTTCTAAGTGTCACTTAGATATCTTGGCAGTAATACGGGCAATAATTTTATTAATCGGTTGTATTGGTGTATACAATATAGCCCATTAGACAATGAAAAAAGAAAGATAAAGTCATAACAAAAATCACACATGGAGATAATTGCAAACTAAGATTTCAACTGATCCCACTGATAAAATATGTTCTGTCATAAGATGGCTCTTTCAAGGTATGAAAGAAATGTAAGAACATTTTTTTAAAATTCCATATCAGCATCTTGGTAACCCATTAAGTTACTTCTCATATTAAGAACTACCTTAAAATTTGAAAATCATACTATATGTATACCTTGGTATTTGTCCTTGCAACGTGTCTGTCCATTTAAAATTCTGAATGTATCTCAGTTTGCTATCCTGTGAAGAGTTATCCAGAGCAACTATAAAGCCTGTTAAAATAATGCCGGTATTAAATAGCACATCCCCTACAAATCAAAATGTACTTTAAATAATCATTTGTCTTCATTTTTTTTTTGCTTTATTTTTTCTATTGATAATGTGACTGTTAATATAAAACTTTTTAATATTTAAAATGCCTGGTATCCAAAATTAGCCTTTTCACTTGGCTGATTGGAGATACTACACTTGGATGTCATTTCAATAATTTCTTTAGTTAAATTCAAAGTAATTGACATTCCATCCTCAGAGCAACACCAGACAAAGAATTCTAGGAAATGAGCCCGGTAAGACAATGTACTAAGTATGGGGGAGGGGGGGGAAGAGAGAAAGAAAATGATGCACCCTCATGTCAAAAGAAGTTGATGCAAATGGAAAGCCCTTCTGCTCATGTGAGAGGTTATACATTATCCTGTATCATTCCAGAAGCCCTCCCAATGGCTTCTGAAAGACAGGGGGAACAGATGGTGAAGCCCCATTACACGGAAGATATTCATTACAACATTCAGCATATACTCTATACATACTAACTGCAAATTTATTTTCCAAAAGGTAATCTTTACGTATCTAAAATTGCATTATCTAGACTCCATTTGTCTTTTGGAAAACTTCAATATGCTCCATCATAGAGGTCAGTTGGTTAGACCGGTTGTGAACTATTATTGTGAATAGTTCGGTTGTGAACTATTATTATTGTTGAGTATTTATTGGCTTTTCCTTGGCAAACATTATAGGCCTTTATCCTTCTGCTATTTTTTAATGGAGAATTTTAATAGGCTCTTAGCCACCCAAAGTTGCATTTGCAAGACAGGTGGCCAGATAAATCAATTCAATAAATAAAGACATTTTAGTATATTTCACGATTTGTACATGTGCAAAAAAATTCAAGGGAATTCCCCAACAAGAGTAATGGGAAATGAGCACTGCATTGCACTGCACTGCACTGCCAATGGCTGCAGAAGGAAAAGAAGGCATGGCATGATACCCTGAACATGAATATGACACTGAAATACCTTGTAGCAGATGGCATTCATGGTTTTAAATCATGTTCGTTAAAATAAGAAGAAAGGGAGGGGGGGACATAAAAATTAGCAGTATAAACTCAATGGGCTGGAAATGGGCAAAGTTCTCAAAGGAAGAGACCTTGACAAAAATAGGAGCAACTCTCTGTCGATGTTGTTTAAAGCAGTGATTCTTAACCTCAGCAACAATATGGCCTTCAACTCCCAGAATTCAACTGGCAGCATGCTGACTAGCGAATTTTGGGAGTTTAAAGTCCACACTTGTTAAAAGTTGCTGTTGTTAAGAAACACTGCTTAAAGTACAGTAGGTAAGGTCATATGAACATGCTCAGCTCTGTCTTCTACAACACATTTATAAGGTTATAAATATCAACTATGTAAATGACTGAAAATGCTAAAAAAAAAAGCACCATGTTCTGTAGCTGGCTTGAAAAATGAGTTTGGGGGGAGAGTGACATATGAATTACTGCACTCATATTGACTTTTTTTAGACAAACCAATGCTAACCAGAGTTTGCTATTTCATCCCTCCAATTTAACTGATTTGTTTTATCTACCATGTGCTTAGATTATTGAAATATAGTAGACTATTGTAATTTCTCAAATAATCTATAATCTATAATACTCAAGCCCAAACAATAAGGCAGCATATCACTGAAAACTCCAAGATCAGCTTCACTCATTATCTTCCACAATATATTCATAAGGGTAAAGCTGCACTTAGCCATCCACTCAGGAAAAAGATTGGCAGCACTGCATTCAGAGAATTTTGCTCACTCCCACAGAAGCCTCTTGAGAAAAAAGGCAAGTTTGTAGTTCTTTATTCCATGCGTGGGTATGAAGAAGTGACGATGTTTCCCTTACTTGCATTGCTTTGGAGAAAAACAGAAGAAACCAGGGAAATGCCTGTATTTCTCTCTTCTTTCAAAGCTGTTTGAATGAATGAATGAAAATATCTTTGATTTCTATAAAACTTTGGACAAATAATGAGATACTAGGCAATATTCCTCCTTCTACAATTTTCTGCAAATCAGAGACACTTTCATCTTCCTTGTGTTCTATAGTCATCAAGATATCTTGGATGTGGAGTTAGACAATTGTCACTATGAGCATTAAAGTAATATCAGAATTAGGTGGCCAGTTCCATTTCTGAAATCAAGGAAAAATGCCTAACTTGAAAATTAAAAGAATAAGGTCTCTACTCACATAAACAGCTCTGTGATAAATATAGCCTGATGGTTTTTCCACTCAGTTACTGAACATACATTAAGCATCTTTGATCAATCACAAAAGCAGCCTTTGGATCACTGATGATGTATATCAGTGCCCTATTTCTACACAACGATGTCGTGAAATTTCTACAAAAAGAAGTGCAACCTTTTGGAAAGCAAGGACTATAATTAATATGGGGGAATGTCTGAAAATAAGATAGCTGTGACATTGTGCAATGCAATGTCAATGACATGGGCTTGGTTGGGGATTTTCGATTTTCTTCCTCTTTGCCAGTGGGTGAGGAGTTGTTCTTATTTTTAAAGAAAAATCTGTGAAGCATTTTTGAAGATTCAAACTCTAGTTTTACACTCTGGTTTTTGTGTTTTCACACTTCACAGTAGCAGGTTTCACTTCACCATTGTCAGGTTTTGGCAATTGGGTCACTAAAATTTAACAGCACAGTCAGAGCAACTTCACCCTCCCAAATAATTGAACTTTTTTTTTTTACCTTCCAAGAGTGAAAAATAGGAATCAGTTGCATTTTTCATCATATCTGGATTACAACTTAAATCAGTAAAAAGTTCCAGGAGTCGTGCTCTTGATAACCTTAAATCACTATATTAAAAGGGAAAAAAGACCAAAAGATACTTCTCAGATGTGCACTGTTTTCTCATATTAACTCATATTTTCATATGTTCTTACAATCACTTACTTGCAGATTTTTGTCGCAGCTGGAGTTGTGGCTACTCCATAGTAATTGAATGAGACAGGAGCTGTAGCCTTTAAAGGGTTTCGATGAAACCAATGAGTCATTCTCTTCCTAAAAGTTTGGAATACAGCAAGACTAAAATAAAGAAGAGAAAAAATTACTGATTTTATTTGTAACTACAAACACAACACTTAAAAGTCTGGTTATTTAATACATTACAGTTTTCTATGGAAAGATATTGACACACACATATGCATATAGTATTCGTTAGAGACAGAAAATAAACCTAGCCAGATCTATATATATAAACCACTCACACCGTAATCATGAAATCTCTAGAACCGTAAAGCCTACAAACTTGAAATTTGCCACGTATGTTCCACTTGGCTTCTAGGTGCTCACTAAGAAAGGATTTTTCAAAATGACCATCAGAACATTAGTATTTCCTATATTATTATTAACATGCTCTGATGCTAAGGAGTTGTACTCCCCCTCCCCACCTGAAAAGAAATCTGTTCCAAATGCAAAACACAAGCAGAGGAGAAGAGTTTCACTTTCAGTTTTACTTTCACAGCAGGAAGCAGCTTTAATACAGAATACTTGAGCTAAGCCACGCCCAGGCTTCTTCCTGTCTCCTTCTTGCTCACACAACAAATACTGTTTCACTTTCCAAACAGTCCTCTGATGCTAAGGAGTTCTACTCCCCACTTCCCACCTGAAAAGAAATCTATTCCAAATGCAAAAGTTTTATTTTCACAGCAGCAACCAAGGGATAGGATAGGGGAGGCTTCTGTGCGGCAAGGCTGAGGGAGAGAAGGGGAGAGGAGAGGCTGATCATAACTACTTATTAATTGTCACGCTGTAAGTGTTGATTTATCAAGCCCCATCACATAATTTCATAGCAAAGCACGGGTATCCACCTAGTGTTTGATAAACATACAAAGGATTGCCCTATATGAGATATTATATTAAATGTGGTGTACAGCACTGAAATTTTAGACTCTTAACAACTGTGGAAGAAAATCACTTGTTTTAAGAATAATCAAGTTATTAATTCAATTTATATAACTGCTTCTCTCACATACGTGACTCTAGGTGGCATTATAATTGTTGCATCTTGTTTAGCATTATTAGCAATAAACATAAAAAACAATTAAAACCTAAAACTTTTTTTAAAAAATTAAAATTAAAGTAAATGCAAGTCTCAATAGAATTTTGAGAAGCATTGTAGATGCTCCTGATGACCAGAGATTGAAAACATTTGCTCCTCTTCAGGAAGTGCTAATTTTCATTCAGTTTGCCAATGATGAATGGGACTATGGATATGGTCTGGGTATAGGGCACTCCTGCTATGGGTCACATTATTTTCACATGATTAACAGCCAGTTGTTGTGACTCCCTTAGAGTCTGCTGAAAAGAAATCTGTTTGCAGAGATAATTGAAGCTCACGTAGCTAATAGAAAGTATAACTATTTGTAACACGACCAACTCTAAAATATAGCACTGTAAAAATACTGACTAGTTTTATTTATGAATTTTAAACATGTTTTTCTACTAAAGTCTACTTTCTGTGTGTTAAACATTTTTTCCAAATAAGAGTTATTTGGCTGTAGAATATAAACTGTATCAATCATTAATAACTTTTGACTTTCCAGTATAACTTTCCGAGTAACTTCATAAAATAATGTTTTTTAAGCTGTTTTCTGCAGAGCCTTTGCATCCCTTAATATTGTAAAATGTCTTATGATTGTGAAAACAAACTGTTTCAAAATAGTTTTTGTGTTGTTAGAAATGTATGCAGATATGTTCTAAGTGCTCGGGGAGAGAGAATGTCTTTCATGAAGAACAATGAAGTTCTTATGTTGTACAGTGGTGTGTATAGTTTTTTTTTTAATATGACTGTGTTTGACATGTTTATTGTTTTTATACTTTTTTTTTGCTTCTCCCACGGATTTAAATACCAGATGACATCACTGCTGACAGCAGTGGTGGAACCTTTCATAAGAACACTATGTGAAGAATCTTGGAAACCACATTTTTTTCTTTTTTCAACTTTTTCTTTCTTGCACTTTTTTCCTTTTCTTTTCTTTCCTTTCCTTTTTTTCTTATTTATATTAATTTCTGTTAGTTTTTTATCTTCTTTACATTTAAAGTTTAAAAGTTTTAATTTTATATAGAGACAAATCAAGAAAAGGAACTGGACATGGAACAGCTGTGACAAGCAATCCTGGATAATGGCTTTTTATGGGAGTTACAAAATAGACTGGTGAAAGCTTTGAAGACTCCTTTTAAAGTTGTAGAAAAGTTTAATCTTGGCTTCTTTAAAGCCAGGTCATGAAAGATCAAATCCTGCAGTGCCATAAAAATAATGTAAAAGTCAGGACTATGCAGAGCAAAAGGAAAGAATACAAAGTTGGATTATTTAACCAGAGATAAACTACATTGCTATTTCTGGTATCTCCTAATTGACGTTTTGCTAAACTAGGATTGGGGAAGATGAAGATGATGGTTTCTGCATTGTTTACAAGTTAGGCTGAGGGGAAAGGATTTTTTTTTATTTGTAACTTTAAAAGAGAATAAAAAGCTAGCATATTAGCTTATGCTTGGTGTGATGAAAATTGGCCTTTTTCTTTGCTGCCTTTTTCTTTTTTCTGCAGATTTTGAACTTTTTGCTTTTTTTTCTAGTTTAGTTTGTCTTAGTTTTTACTACATTTACTAAAACTTCAAATTGTTTTTTTAAAAAAAAATTCATATACATATGGAACAAAGTTTTTTCTTTCTTTCCTTCCTTGAAAATAGTTAAGAGTTACTCAAGTCAGATTGAAGAAACAGTTTGTTAATGACAGACATATCACTGCCTCTTTTAAGCAGAAAGACATATACCTTCAAACATTAATTACCCCATAAACATGGAACCAGTTCTTTCTGAATATTTTAATCAGCCAGGAAAGGCCAAGAGAGGTTGGCCTTCACTTCTTCAGATATATTCTCTGCATCCTTGAGATCCAAAAACTGAAGAGAATTCAGAACTGTAGAAGCAGTTGTCATGGTTACATCATCAGTTTCTAAAAGAACATAAGCAGCCAGTATATTGTACTACAATGTTGAACTGGGACACAAGGGATTCAGCTTAAAACAACTCAGATGCACGGTCCACAGAATTTGGAACCAATCAATCTCTAGGTTCAACATATCTCAGATTGTTCTTGAGGGAATAAAATGAGTGGAATCCCCCTCTGTCAGGCAAACTGAACAAGAAGCAACAAACAATGAACTCCAGGTTGAGTGAATTTGCTTTTATCTGCAAAGAACATAGCAAATTGCCAGAACAAACCCTCAACTGCTAAGTGTCTCCACTCCCATCATTCTATTGCAGAAAATCTGTCTAGTGAAGAAAATCAATGTTGGTCTGTTCTATATAGACACAGTAGAGATCTAAAATAAGACATTCTTATTTTAATTGCCATTGTATATTGCTCCAAGTAGACTTTAATCCCTGTTTGATTTGACTGCCCCAATTCATTATTTCCATTTGCACAGAAATTACAACCACCTCTGAAAAAGTAACTTGTGACCCATCTTTGAAGCTACAACCACATTACCTGTGTTGTCATGTGATCACAATTTGAGTGCTTGGCAACTGGCAACATCTAATACAGAATGGAGAAAGGTTTTTGGCATAAGTATCATGTCCTGTTTGTTTTCAGAATTCACAGGAGAATTGCTTTTGGAATTGCTATTGGGACTTCATAGCTGCCAATGTTATCCTCCTAAATTAGCTCATCTTTATCTTTTAGGACACCAACCTGATCTAATAATCTTGAAGGAATAAGATTAAAATCTCATATCAGAGGCGAGTGTAATTTCTATTCAGTACTCCTTTTAACTTCTGCTGATTACAAAGTCCTTCAAGAATGACTGATTTTTACAATATTATATTGTATCAGATTGGAAGACTTCTTAAGAATGGAATGAATTATTTGGATCCAGGGTAAGATACTGTACAAATAGTCCTTCACTTACAGCTACAACTAAACCCAAAATTTCTTGCAATGCTAAGCAAGACAGTTAAGTGAATTTTGCCTTATTTTACTACCTTTCTTGCCACTGTTGTTAAGTGAATCACTGCAGTTAAGTGAGTAAAATGCTTACTAAATGAATCCGGCTTCCCCATTGACTTTGCTTTTCTGAAAATAGCAAAAGGTGAACACATAAGGCGGGACACTGCATTGTAATTTTGGTCACTAAATGAATGATTGTAAGTCGAGGATTACCTGTACTATATAGCCTTAGATATTTTCCCAGTGCAATACTGTAAATAAGATCACCTTCTTTCTCTAGTATTACATAAGAAACTTCTGGCATTGCTTCCTTATTTTATTTTATTTTTTTTATTTGATTTATATGCCGCCCTTCGACGAAGACTCAGGGCGGCTTATTCCCAGACAGAAACTTGAACAATGAGCAAGATAAAAGTTTTCAGTGTTATTTATCCTGTCTCCACTACACACAGTCATAATAAGAAACTAAGATTTTCCCATGTTGCGGCTTAAACACAATAACAGCCAAAATCTAAAACTCTGTAGAAAGGAAGAGGCAAGGTAGGAAGAGGCAAGGTAATACTTCTTCATATACAGGTAGTCCTTTACTTACATCCACAATTGAACCCAAGATTTGTTGCTAAGCAAGATAGTTGTTAAATGAATTTTGCTTCATTTTACCACCTTTCTTGTCACATTAAGTGAATCACTGCAGTTGTAAGTGAGTAACATGGTTGTTAAGTGAATCTGGCTTCACCATTGACTTTGTTTGTAAGAAGGTTGCAAAAGCTATTCATGTGACCCTAGGACACTGCAACCTTCCAATACATTGGCCGGTTGCCCAGCATCTAAATGTCAATCACGTGGCCATGGGGATGCTTCAATGGTCTTAAGCGTGGAAACTGGTCATTAAGTCCCTTTTTTCAGTGCCACTAACTTTGAATGGTCACTAAACAAATGGTTATATAAGTCGAGGACCACCCGTATCGAACTTTTGCTTTTACGAAAAAAAAACCAGGAACCTTTAAAAAGAGCTTGTCTCAGTGCTCAGAAATTCTGCCCATCATATATTGTATATCATATATACAGGCCTTCTTCTCCAACGTTACAGCAATTGCTCTTCCTCCCTAGCAGACAGCAAAGCGAACAGCCCCCCCCCCCCCATCCCCATCCAGCATTAATCCAAGCCTCTCCCAGAAACATACTTGGTCTCCGCCTTCTCTCCTTAGGGTGGGGCTGCTCTATTTACCTTCTCGATTTCCAGCGGACTCTTGTCAGCAGCAGCCACTACCGTACAGCTCTACGGAAATCAGATCAGGAGGAGGAGCCGCATCGCCAGAAACTATGAAAGGAAGGCGGCAAGGCCCGAGTCCGCCTCTCGGTGGCTCTGCTGAAAAGCAAGGCCGGGCAGCTTTCACTGCAAGGGAAGAGACTCGCCTCTTCCAGCCTTTCTGTTCCGAATGCGTGCCTTAAAGCCATTTCCCGAAGATGCTTTCTAACCAACAAGTTACTCTGTTTTGGGATAACCTCGATTAAACTCGGTCTCTCGCTTTCTCTCCGGTTATCATCAATTACTTTGCCAAGTGCTCGTTCGACTTGGGTGCGGCTATATTGGAAACCTGGTGTTTCGCTTGTGCTTCGGGATTAGTAGTCCCAACCTCATGGACAGGCCTCGCTCGGAGACTATATGTTTGAAGGACGCTGCAGTAGTACAGCGAAGCACACTGATGCCGGTTTGTAGCAATTCCCAGCTGAACTCTCAGAAGCACAACAGACTAGCTACAATAGGAAGCTGTATGTTCAACCCGAACGGGCTTTCCATTGGATATATAAATACGGCTGCTTTGGGTTTTCACCCACCGTTTCAAAACGCACCCCAACCTTATCGGTTTGCTGAAGCCTCAACGGGCTTTCCTTAAGCCTCAAAGCCAGGTTCTTTCCTCATAATGATTGTTGGCACCTCTTAAGTAGCCTCATTGATTATAGTGAAGGAGGACCCGCTGAGTTAAGAGGCCGGAGGCCACGCCCACTCATAGCTGGCAAGCCTCATTGTTCTTTCTCTGCTTTAGGTACAACTGCGATGTAAACATCCCAAGTAGCCTTGCCCGGGAATAATCCTCTTATTTTCTCACATTCCCTGTGTGCTGTTTAGCCTGGGATTCTACCTTCATATCCCTTTCCTGAAAATACCATCCCGATTTCGTCAATTAAGGCTAAATCCACTTTAAAACGAGCTGCTTCCTTACTATATAAAGTATTCACATTTCCTCTATTTCTGTTGATAGCGACATCACACCTGCTTCTCTTCCAGTTTTCTAAAGGGCTTGTGTTTACATTTATTTTACAGATCCCCCCCCCGCCTCCCCCAACTTTGTCCTGTCTCGGGAACACCAAACAATAGACGCGACGAACAAGCGGAGGGAAGAACAAAGCGGTCCGAGTTAAAACGATTCCGATGTTCACAAATCGTTTAAGGTTAAAAGTCCTGCAACAAAGGCGGAAATGATTGCTTTAATTCTATTCAGTTCTCGAAATTGCGCTGGGATTGGAGGTCGAGAGGCTTGGGGATCGTAATAGTAAAACAAGGGTAAGAAATCTTATGAGGAAAAGGAGAATTAATAACTATTTAAATATGGTTTTGTCCTTAAGTGGCCCAGAAATATCCCACTGATCGTGTATACATAAGAATAGACGAAATAAAGCTTAGGAATGCAAGGAGGTGGGGAAAACAACAGCCATTCGTTTCGAAATTCATTCTCCACGGAGCATATTTCACAAAAGAATAAAAGGTAATCGCTATACTGAATGCATTTGTGCAAGGCTTGACCGTGGAAACAATCGGAGGAGCAGGAAGCCGCTAAGATTCATCACTGCCAGCGTTCAGGTGCAGTATAAAGAGAGGAGACAAAATACAAGCGCCTACCATATAATAAATAGAAGCTTCCTACCACTCACCCACCTCGGAAGATTCTCTACTCTATGCCAGAGATCCAAAAATTGTAGAGGAGTTAAAGGATAACTTCTGTAGGGTGACCTCGGCAATAATAAACCCAAGGAAACCCGCCCGACTCCCGAAAATCACGTGACCTTCCTGGACCTGGCAAAGTCTCGCTAACCGGGCGGAAGCGCTTCACATGGAATGGTAGCATCGAAATCGAGCCGGGCGGCTCTTGGCTCGCCAAGGCGTGAATGCTCCCCCCCCCCCACAGGAGTGCATTTTTTTTTTCTACGCAGCCCTATGGCTCGACAAAGCAGAGCGAGAGGGATTAGTTGGCTCTGAAAGTCAATACACAAAGAACTAGTGGAGATTGATGGAAATTGGGCGACTGCCCTCTTTGCACCTGTTACATGTTTCTAGCTACAGAAGGATGGTGACTAATCAGCCACCCCTGATTAGTCTCGGTTTGAGGCGTGAAGGAGAAAGTGCGGCGAAGTGTGCAAAGCCCAGAGGGCGACCGAAAGGGATGGCCGTCTGGCGATCAGATGTGTCTGGCTTGTGATGATGAAAGGCGGCGGCAAGTGAACCTCAAGAAAGTTTGTTTTTTTTTTAATTGAAAAAGTTTTAAAACAAACACAATTTCCCCACAACCCTCCCACCCAACCCCCCCTCCCCGACTTCCCAGAGCAGAACACAAGGTATTTCTATTGACTTTTAACAATAAACTAAATTGCTTAACCAATCATTAAACTAACACCCCCTAAAAAAAAAATTCTTAATCCCCCATGTTACCTCAAGAAAGTTTGAAAGCATCTCTTGGTGCGTTTACCAGGACTAACGCATCAAAAGGCTATTGGCAAGGGACGCTGTAAAAACTAGTGCGAATAAAAACGTAACTAATCTCCTCGCATGTAAATCGAGGCAGCTATGCTCCAAGCAAGAATATGTGAGACTGGATTTCCCCGTCCCAGTGCAAACTTGGAATTTGCATAAGCTTTTCCTCACAATTCAGTTAAATACAGAGAGTAACAATAAGTGTGCAGAATCTATTCCTCTCTTTCAGGTTCATAATGAAAGAGGGTCATAATGCACATACATTCTGTCACAGTGTAATCAGCGAGCTTCTAGGTGCAACACATTAAAAGCCACGTTTTTTTTAACAGTGACGTTTTCTTGGGACTTTTCGAAACTTCTGCAGTTTTCCGCTGCAGCGGCTTGTCATATTTTGCCAGCGGTCGCCCGCTGGAATAGAAGCTCACAAGTAAACCAAGAAGCGCCTTCCCCGAGGGCTGCCTTTGCAAGTTTACAATAGCTTAGGGCTACGCGCGCGCACGCGCAGTCGGGAGCCGACAGCGTCCCCAGTTCCGCTGCGCAGGGCAAGGAGAGGAAGGCGGCTTTGGGTACAACCGCCCATGCTGGGGGGCGGGGCCTCGCTAGAAGCGACTGCCAGGTTTGGATGAGAAGGCAAATGGGCTTGGTCGGGGAGTGAGCGGCGGTGTTGCTTGGACTGGAGCGAGCGGCCGTTGCCCGGCGAGAGCCCCTCCGCTCCTCGCTCCCCGGCTCCCGTTCCCCGGCGCGGCCGCCGATGAAGATGGAGCCTTAGCAGCTGGGACCATGTCGGAAGCGACTCGGAGCCTTCTGCTGCGCTGGGGCGCCAGCTTCAGAAAAGGGACCGACTTCGATTCCTGGGGGCAGCTGGTGGAGGCGATCGACGAGTATCAGATGTGAGTGGGGGTGAGCGGGCGGCGGCGGCAGCTTCAAAGGGTCGGGCTGGCTGAAGGGGGAGCTGCTGAAGGCGAAGGCGGGAACGGGGGGAGAACCCCTGGGTGGGGCGAGAAGTTGGGGTTCAGGCACCCGCGGGGCTGGGTGCGGGTGGCGGGTCTGGGCGGAGCCCCGAAGGGGTGACCTGGAGGGCAGGCAGGCGCTACAAAGCCTCTGGGTGGGGCGAAGGGCAGCTGCAGGCGGCCGGGGGCGAAGGGCTGCTCCAGGAAGACCGCAAAGGGGAGAGGGGGGGGGTTGTGCGAGGGTCCCTCTGGTCGTAAATACTTCGCGCTGGAAGGCTTTTGTCTGGCGCGAAGGGTCTATGGACGAAGGAAGAGGAGGCTCTGCGTCGAGGCTACAGATTTGGGGAAGGGTCGCTTCCATCACTGCCCCATGGCTGCCTCTACACACAAGATGCAGAGGGGAGGATGCTGAGGCTCTTGCTGCCGATCTGCATCTATTGCTGCTTTGAAATGTAATGTTTTTTTTTTTTTAAAGATAAACGCCAACAAAATAATTCTGCTAATGTTGTTATGAGGCTTCCCCAGGCTCTGAACGTGATTTTTTTTTTAGGTTGGCCAGCTTTGGGATATCTGACGGAAGTTTCGGCCTTGGAAGCCACCTGTTGTTTCTAGATCCTTAATCTGAACCTTGGGATTCTTTCAGGGTCATCTCTAGCAGTACCAGATGTATAATGTTAGTACAAGTGTGGGGGGGGAGAGAGAGAGAGATTCTGTGGATTAATTGCTTCTGTTTCTACGATTTAAAATTGGGTATTTGGTAGCTCTAGTCCCATTCCTAACAACTGATAATAAACCTATGTTTCCATATAGTATTTGGCTAATTTTTATTGAACTGCCACATGAGGATATTTTGTAACATTAATAGCTTGTTAGGAAGCAATTAATCTATTGTCTATTGGCAAATGTTGCTTTTGAAAACTCCCATGGTTTCAGAAGCCTCGTGATTGGAGAAGGAATCTAGCTGAAAGAACTTGGCTCTTGGGAGGAAATTAATATATCTTTGGCTTCTGACCATTATATATCATATTGAATAGTTGATAACCATTAACTCTTTTGCTTTCAGAATGTTTTATTCCCAACACGAAAATGTCCCACCCTAAATGGCAGTTAAGGAGCACTTGTATACTATTTTTTGTTTGCTGGAGCTATTCCAAGACCTCCAAGACTAACATATGTTATGCTACAACATCAATGTACTTACTTCTGACAAGACTAGAGCGTAGCGAGTGCGCTTATAGTCCTGTTAGCTCAGAGTTGTAAAATTATATTGCATGTGTCTAATAAAAGATCATACATTTATATTTAACTTTTATAGATTAACAATAACCCGAGCAATTAGGAAACAAAAAAAATCATTTGTTGCTTTAATTAAACTGTAGAAAGATTAAGCTGGGAGGGAAGTTACTGAATGCTTAAACATTTATAGCATTTCCCTTCCCCATCCAGTTGGAATGTGCAACATTGTGAAGTCTTGATCTATAATTGTATGCATTTCTAAGAGCTTTACTGGATCAAGGCCTAAGCTTCTATAGTGTCATAATATGGCTAATCAGCCAGTTGGTAATATCTCTTTTCTACTGCTGATCTCTAATTGGAATTTAAAGCATTTTGATTTTGGTGGTACTATGGCTGCATCAACTAGTAGACATTGAAAGCTATATCTCTGAATTTATCCAATCCCTTTTAAACTGCCTGTAACTGCTGGTCATTATCACATCTGATATTTCGCATCTGTATGATATTTAGATTTAAAGCATGGTTCCCATTACATTTTCTTAAACTATATTGCCTTATCAAAGAGTGACACAATTGTTTTATAAAGATCACATTTTAATTTGCATGCTATTTCTGAAAACAGATGGCAACTAAGTAGTTTTCAATATAAAAATAGAAGCAATATAATAGAGGTATATGACCATAATAGAGCCCCAAATTTCTAAGTTCTAAGAGCCCAAAAGTTGCTAAGTGAGACATTTGTTAAGTGAATTTTGCCCCATTTTACGACATTTCTTGCCACATTTGTTAAGTGAATCACTGCAATTAAATTAGTAACACGGTTGTAAATTGAATCTGATTTCCCCATTGACTTTGCTCATCAGGAGGTTGCAAAAGGTGATCACATGATCCTGGAACACTGCTGTCATAAATATGAGTCAGTTGCCAAGCATCTAAATTTTGATGACATGACCATGGGGATGCCGCAGTGGTCATAAGTGTGAGAAATGTTCATAAATCACTTTTTTCAGTGCCGTTGTAACTTTGAAAGTCACTAAATGAACTGTTGTAAGTCAAGGACTACCTGTAGCAGTTAGCACATTAGTAACAATATAATATTTCTGTGATGATGTATGTATTTAATGTCATTTAATATAGATTTAATATAAAAATGTCATGGTTTTGCCTTGCAAAATTGCAAATTATTCATAATTCCCAGACAGTCTTGTAATTGTAATGAATGAGCAAATATCATTTAACTGTTTTTTTTCCTTAAACCTCAACATTTTCTTAAATGAGAAAAAAAGACTGGTCCAAACAGCAATAAGTAACAATTCTCCTTATTATTAAAGGTTGTGAAAGCCTAGTTTTTGATGCTAGGACCCTCAACAGTAGTTCCCCATTAGTAACTTAAATGTGAGCATAAGATAATTTTCCTCTGAAATTCATGCAGAAATATTTTCAAAACTAGTTTTAGTCGATATGAATTACACATTTGTGAAACAAAAGTGAAATTTGGAAATGGTAAGTTTGAAGTAACTCTAGCCAGTTCCAAGAAATACCGGGTAGTGCAATCATATGGGCAAGATTTGGAGTTTAAGCTAGATCCAATTTGTACTTTTGCAGTTTGATTCATTGTATGGCCTTGCACAAATTGCCATCTTTCAGCATCAATTTCCCATCTTAAAAAAAGATTAGTGATTTGCCTCAAGGTTTGCTAACGAAGTAGAGTGCCGGTAGGAAGGGGGACTTTTTTAGTGGAAAAAATTATAACATTTTTAGGAAAAGTGATGAAAAAATGGGTCACAGTGCTTCAGATTTGATTCCATAATGCCTTTGGAATGTTTATGGAGTATGAATGTAGCATCTTCCTGTAGTTCTTTAAAGTAGGTGCATCATTTTCTATGATTATGTAGCAGGTGCAGAGGATAACTACAGAACCCCAAGACATCTCTACTATAAAGTGTTGCAGACTGGCATTATGCTTATACTCTAAGCACGTTTCTGAATTGTTTCCAAATACTGTATAATTGACTTATGATTGAAATATATATAAAACATATTTGTATTAACTTTTCCCTTAAAATTTTGACTACAACATTCTATGATATTAAAATATTACAACACGTGAATATTGTCAATCTACATACAACTCAAAATCTTTTCTATTAAGCTAGAGAGAGTTTTCTGTATAAGAAAGTTGAAAATAGTTTCTGAAAAAAATAATCTTTGCTTTCTATACATTTTTTTTTCATGACAGCTCATGGAGAAAATGTCTAAATTCAAATGATTAAGAATTCTTTTGGATTGATTCTTTTTTCCCTGTATTATGCAGCTATTAGGAACTAAAAGATATCTGTATCTTGGCTGCCATAGCTTGCTGTTTATTTTTTAAAACTTTTTGGTATAACTCTAAATAATATGCAAATAAAATTAAGGCACTTTTACATTACATAGCACTGCATTTTATATCTTTATAGGATACTTTTTCTAACTACTCAGAAATGGATCCCATTGAAATTAATAGTGGGCTTTTAATTGCATCTAAAAGCAATAAAATATGCTTGGAATAAAATATGCTTGTAAACCACTTAGGCCGTGAAGCGGTATATGATAAAAGAATATGTGTGGATGTCATCTGTTCTATGGAAATATCTCTATTAAAATGTATTATGGAAGGAGAACATTTTTTTCTCTCAAAATTATAAATTTTCTCCAGTTGTTCATTTTTATGTTCAAAATTAAGTGATCTCTAACTAGCATTGTTACTTTAAAGATGGTGCCTGTTCTTGAAGTTGAGATGGACACTTCCATGGAAAAATAGAAGCCACTGGATCCATCGTCATTGGTTTCAAACCTTTAGTCCAGCTGCGAATGTAAACCACTCGTATAGATAACTCTTATGTTTGCCTATTCTGTACTTTGCCAACTTCCTCAAACTTGTTAAGATTTTATATTCATATTGCATTTTCTATGTTATCATTGAGAGAAAAGTATTTCTTATTAAAAATCTATTTGGGGGGGGGGAATTCTGTTTTTGCTTCTAAGTTTATCCGAAAGCAACCTATAAAATTGTTATCTCTATTTCTAGTACTGTCTACTAATAAATAGAGATCATTTCCTCAAGTAGTTTGCCTCTTTTAGTATTCTGAGCTTGTTGGTACATTGAAAGCATATTCTGTTCGTCATTTATTGTAAGCTACCTAGAGTGATGTATGATGCCTAGGTAGCAGACAATTATTTGTTATAATTGTAAAATATGTCATTGTTATGGGTCTTCTTGATCTATTTCTTTAGTATTAATCCTACCAGTTAAGTTACCCTTCTTGCTGTACATGAAGTTTAGAAAGAATATTATGATAAAATTTAGGAATTCCCTGTGGTCAACATTGAACACTCTAGCAGTAGTTTTTCAAATCTCTGTCTTTAGAGAAGTCTTTAGCAGCTTTTCTGTTATGCCAGCCATTTGTGTTATAGAGGAGTATAGAAGATGTAAGGCAATAATGTTGTTTGGCCAAAACATTGTATGCTTTATTATTATTCTGCATGTAGGAAACTCATCTTGGTAAATTTCAATAATGGTGGATGGCTCTCTTTCATGGAAGATTGCCTTTATTGCTGTTCTGTTTCGACAGTCTTACGTTTTTTAAGGAACCAGAAATACATGTAGAAAATCATTACCTTTGGGATGTACTGTAACTGTTGGAGGTCTCGTTACTGTTAAGGTGTTAAGGTCATTGAACATACAAGCAAGTGAATATTTGTCTGGTTATTTTGTGTGTGTGTGTGTGTGTGTAAGGTCAGGTCAGTCTTGACTCCTGTTGACTGCCTGGATTAGTTGTTGCAGTTTTTGTGGAAAGATTTTTCAGAAGTAGCTTGCTTTTGCCTACTTCCTAGCTATGAGAGACTGACCAGCCTAAAGTCATGCAGCTGATTTTATGCCTCATGGTCATCTGGTTTCTAGTCTGGTATCTTAACCACTACAGCAGAGTGGTTCTTTGTGGTTAGCTAATGGATATCAATCTTTGCTTTTTCCAGTCTTTAAAATTTGGAGAGATGAAGCTTATTCCAGGAGGCAAGCAAATAGAGAATCCTTCAGTGATGCGTCAAAACAAATGGCAATAGGGAAATAAAGTGGTGAAAAGGGGAAAGTGCGCTAAAAACCCACAGAATAGATTGAATTCTTGCTTGTATAGTTCTTGAAAAAAGCACAAAGCTCTAGATTACCTTAAAATGTTTATGCCAAATGTGTATTTAAAAGCAAGTTTTGTTGAAATCAATGGGATGCACTGCTTCACTATTTGCACTAAGAGAGATCAGCTGGAAAGCCAAATATAAAAGGATATATATGATGTGTGTTGCTCTTACATGGGTCTCTAAAGAAAAAATAATTTCAGCTGATCTATCAGTTTTGCAGCAAATATATTTTTATATATTAAACACTATTAAGCTTCAGGTGAGGGAATGAGGTTATGTTTGTTTTACTGTTTTGATGAATCTCAAACAACCCAGTCTAAGCATGTTAAAAATTAGGTTTGAAAGATCACATGTAGTCATGTCACTGGTTGCTTCATATTCCTGTTACCCAGTACAGGTATCTGAATAAAATTGTAACACTCCCAGTTTGAAAGAGGGAGAGATTTTTGGATAATGCAAGTTGTTAATATTGGGAGTAAATGACTTGGAATCTCTAGAAGTATAGATGTTTATTTCCTTGTCCAGATGTATTTCTTACATCTCTGTATAAAGCAAACTAAGATCAGCATCTAGGACCAGCATTGCCTGTTACATGCAAGAATACTGTAATCAAGTTACAAATGTATTGTACAGTATTATTTGTTCACTTTGGTAGCAATATCACATATATCATTTCTACAAATCAAAATTGCATAGATTTGGGGGAAGCAGTTTCTAGATAAAATAATTAAAGCGTTATAGTTGATTTGATCATCCATCTGCAGAAAATTTCCCTTTTTAAATGTATGGGATGGATTTAAATTTATAGAAGATGTGCTGCTGTCTGATACAGATTTACAAAGATAGTAGATACTATAAATATGCTGGTGTTTTGTTTTGTTTTTTGCTTGTTTTGAGAGAATTGGAAAAGATGTGGAAAATTTGGATTGCAATAGGCTGCAATAGTTTCTTATTTACTTTTACTTTGGGATAAGGGCAAGGGAGGCAAGGTTGCCAGAATAGTTTCCCTCATAGTCAATATGAATGAATATGCTCCATTCTCCATGCATAAAAAAAGGACTATTACAGGGGTGTTAAACTCACGTCATGGCAGCATCATGAGACGTATTGGGACCTTTTTCCCCTTTGCTAAACCAGGTGTGGGCGTGGCCAAAGTGTGACACATCTGGCCCACAGACCAGGAGTTTGACAGCCCTGGACTAAATATTAAAAGTCTTGTAGAAAATAAATAAGTTGGTTTATATGTCTTCTTTATTTTATGGGCTTCTTGGGATCAGAAGATACATTCTGCCTATAATTTGCTTAATGTACTATTCAATTTATATCTCATGAGTACTTTTATAATTAGAGACTCCTTAAAGCCCTTAAATTATTTGTTTTCTTTACCTCTCTCCAGATTAGCAAGACATCTACAGAAAGAGGCAGTGTCTCAACCCAACAATTCAGAATTCACAGAAGATCAAAAGGTACATAATGGTGTATGTTCATTTCATGGTGAATCTATTTTTAGAAGGAATGTTTAATTTGTTTCTTGCAGTCATTTATATAATTTGCTTGTGTCGGCTATAGTTTACAAGTGCTGGGCTTGTGTAGCACTTATCTGTATACACCAAATTCAGAGAATGGACTTAATACTTCAGTTCTTTAAAGATATAAAATAGCTTGCAAAGGAACAATACCTATTTTATTGCATTCATATGTAATATAAATTATCTAAAAAGTAATCATAATAGAGTACACATTTTTATCTTATTAAACATTGTGTTACTTTTTCCTGTATGTTAGTTATACATGCCTCCACTACACTAGGTAATACATTAGCATAGTTAAATAAAATGTGACTATGTGAAAAAAAGAGATTATAGTGCAGACAATTGTATTCTGAAATACCTGTTTTATATTAACTTTACAAAGAGATATGTATCACTTTTGCTGGATTATTACACTTTTTAAAGAAGAGCAATCTGGTTTCTTGTCCTGAAATGCTGAAAGTCAAATATTTCAGAGGACAGGTTACCAAAAACACATTGCTTCTTCTCCACAGGTTTCTTCCATCAGGAATTCAACAGTCCAGCTTTTTTCTCAGAACCATCTTTCTTTCATGCACAGACTGCCACTTCTTGCTACGCTATTCCTCTTATGTTAGTCTGTTAGGGAATAAAGAAACAGTTAAAATGCTGCCTCTTCAATTGTGGTTGAGCTTTGCCATTAATAAGATGGCTCTGATGGTGGGATTTTATTCATATTGTTATGCCTATACTTCGTGCTATGAGCTCCTGCCCCACCTAAATCTAAACTTGTGAATTTGGAGGCTTTGAGGACACTTTTGAATGGGAAGCTGCAGCTGGAAGGTGGACAATTTTTTTCTCCTCTCCTTCCCCCCTTTCCCCCCCAGTAACATGGATGGAAAGGGCCTTTTACTTATTCTCAGGCTTTGTTGGATCTCTGCCATTAAGTAATGAATCCTTTGTGTAAAAAATATATGATGAGATATGGGAAGAGGATTTCCCTACCTTGCCAAAGTACATCCTACAAAGGCATGGATTTGTTCCTTTTTTAGGGGAGATGGGAGTTGTTTTACAGAATAGTTGAATGCATTTATGTGTTAATGTTGAGATGTAATCTCTGATGTATATGTTAGGCTGACCAGGAAATTCTCGTTATTCTTTAGAGTAGTAAAACTTCTGGCATTTGGATGAATTAATTATGGCTTCTTTCTTTCTTTCTTCCTTCCTTCCTTCCTTCCTTCCTTCCTTCCTTCCTTCCTTCCCTCCCTCCCTCCCTCCCTCCCTCCCTCCCTCCCTCCCTCCCTCCTTCCTTCCTTCCTTCCTTCCTTCCTTCCTTCCTTCCTTCCTTCCTTCCCATGGTAAATTTTGACATCTTGTATTTTTGGCACCTGAAAAAAAGATGTTTTCATTTTTTGGCCATGTAAAATCATAAAAGTTCAGTTACATAGAAAATATTTTTATTTTAGAAGGTTGTTCTTAAAAACTGATTTAAGTTTCTGAAAATATAGCATTTCATTGGAGCTATAAAATTCTGCATGAAATCTGAAATTTGTGTCCTTGTTTGGTGGTAGCTGACAAATCTAGTGATCAAGGAATTTTTAAGGTTTTTTAGAAAAATATAAAGTGGGTATAAAGATTCACTTTGTTAATTTAATGTGTTTAATAAGGTATTTTCATTAGTAAACAGTGAAGTGCCTTGTTGGGGATAGGATAATTTAGAAAAACATTACTGTAGCTGAGGCTAGCTGTAGTGTTTTAGTTTTTTTAATATTTGTGTTGGGTGCGGTTCCTGAGAAACAGTTGTGAATAATATTTTTTGGTATCTTGCCACAATTCAGAAGAGGCTTTTACTTTAAAAAATTATCTCTAAAACTTTCAAGAAAATCTGTACAGAATACTTTCATTCTTCAACTCTCAAGTGCCTTTTAATATATCCTAAAACTTTCTGGTTCATAACAAAGAAGTTGCCAAATGCAAGGAGCAATTTTTTTTTTTACGGCAAAAATACAATCTCTTAAGCATACTTGCTAAACTGAAAAAGGAAAGTAGGCTGAAAGCTCAATTACCTTTGCTTTATTGTAAGGGATAAGTGGGTGAGAATGTGATAGAGGAAAATAGTATCTTCATCCTTACTGTACAAAGTTTCTGCTTTCATATATATAGATTCACAGTAATGTATGAAAATGTATGTCTTCATAATGGAGTCTGCTAACTGTATGGCATTCTGTTTCCAGACCTTTTATATCACAGTGCTGAAGTTACATTAAAAAATGAACTTATTTGTGCCTGGGAACACAGGAAACTTGAATGTGACAAGCAGTTTTTGGGTGCAGTTTTGATTTGTGTGTTTGCTGCCTGTAGAAGCTATGTCAAGGACTTGGTTTTCTTTTTTCTGTTCTACTATTGGGTTGCTGCTCCCTCAGCCATATATCCTTAACAGTTATTTTTGTTTACGTTTCATATAAAAATATTAATACAACAGCGTCAAATTAATCTGTCTTTCCTGTGTTGCAGAAAACGTTAGCTAAGATTGCAACATGCTTGGAACTCAGAAGTGCAGCTTTGCAGGTATAATTCTGGTTTCACCTATGATTTCTGGTTTCTTTATGGGTTTCATTAAATATTAAAAGCTTAAAGAACACCTTTTGGAAAGATCTGACTCAGAGGCATGTATTCTGCTCATCTTTCTGTTATGTGTGATTTATTACAGTGTCTGGGTCTAAGACAATAGAAAAATTAAGCAATGGCTTATAATATGAATCTTAAAAAAGAATTTGACTTTGGAACAATATAAAATTCTTTATACTGATAGTATTAAAAACCAGTATAAAAATGTTTATACTGGTTTCTCTAATCTTTCCGTTAAAGCAACTTGAAAGTTATAATACTGTAGTTATCTTCTCCCTATCTTCCACTAAACTATGTAATATTCACAAAAATACTATTGCCACTTGCATCCACCAAAGAAAAATGTTTCCTGTTAGCAAAGAGGTATTTTGAAGTTGGTCAAGAATGAGTATGAAATCTGGCTTTATTGTTCCTTTTATTCATTATTTATTTATTGCAGCATTAACAATATATACCACTATATTCCAATACAACTCCAGAAAGGTAGAACCAGAGCAGTGTTTTGCAATCACTTCGCTCCTTTCCTAATGAATGATTCCAGTTAGTGGGAAGGGGAGGAGAGGAGTCTGTGGCTACTCTCTAGGGGTCACTTTCCTCCCCCTTCTGCCAGCCTCTTTCCTTCCGTTTAACATTTATAAGTTATCGTTATATATCAACTGATGGTCTGGGATCCAGCATCATCAATGGACTAAAGATAATTCAGCTTTACATCATTACCCCAGGTCAGGCTGGTAATAAAGTACAATCCTCCTGAGATTCTGGATGGGAAAGAAGAGACTTAAACAGAATTACTGTTTGTCCATCAAAGTGCTCGGTCTGCTCCAGTGGTACCTCTAAATGGGTCCTCCTGGACTTGTGGTTTTTGCTGGAATAGCAGGTAGAAGTTGTAGTCAGGGAAGTCTTTGCCTAGCTTTGGCTGTAGTACCAGTTGTAGCCCTATCTGGGATAGGAGAACATTACTACAGTGACCTGTCCACTTGACACCACCTGTTTAAAATAGTGCTATGTGCTCTATGTGACACTGTCTTTAAAGACCACTTGGAAGCGGTAGTTGGTTGAAAATGAGGCAATCTGTGACTTTCCCCAGTGGGAGCACATTATACTAGTGCTATGGGCCTCTGATATGGCACCAGGTTATCAGCAGAACCACATTCTTCCATTGCATTTGATCTACTTGAAAAAAGCTGCTAATGATTCCCCATTTTAGGGCAGCGAAGGGAACTGAGGTTTGGAGGCACCGGTCTTTTGGAATGGCCTCCTAGTTCAAACCAAGTTCATGCTGAGGGTCATGGTGTCATCTTGATTAGGTTAATAGGCGCTCTGTGTGTGTGTGAGTGTGATGTTTTATACTCAATAAGATTATGAATTTTTTAATTATTTATGGTTGCATATTTTTGTAGACTACAAAACTGCCACTATTTAATTGTTGTAACTCACTACAAATAGCAATGAATAATAATTGCAGATGTTAAATGCTGTTTTTCTTGTAGTCTACACAGTCCGAGGAAGAATTTAAGCTGGAGGATCTGAAGAAACTAGAACCAAGTAAGTATTTCCCTTTTTTTAATTAAAAAAGTATTAAAGAAATGCCTCCACCAGAAAAATGGATTTCACAAATCTGTGTAACTTCAGGTTTTATGCAACAGTGCCTTTTCCTTGCAAATAATTACAGGAAACTTAATTTATATAGTATCTTTTTTATATTAGTAAAGTCTTAAAGGTTCCTGTGCCTACTCCATTTTATCCTGGGAAGGAGTCTTTGGAATATAGTCTTTCCCAGTAGCTTCTGTGATAATTACTGAGTTTTTTAGTAAAAGAGTTTGGAACGTTGCTACCAGAATGATAGTTCTCACTTATATCAAGTACATTTGTATGTCTCTGTGTATATATAATGCTAAAGTCATAGCAATAGTACATATGTGTGGAAAAATAAATTATGTTTCTAAGCTATTGGCAAAATAAATGCCATGCCTTTTGCTTTTCCAGTTGAAACAACCTCTGCCAACAGAGGGAAAATAGATATTCTCAAATGGCTGATAATTAAACAACTGATAGTATTTCCTATATCTGCCAATAAAACTCAGTCAACGATCCCCCAAGCAATTTGTAGCAATCCTTTTGCCAATTAATCCATTCTCTGAATTTCGTACTTACATATGAACTAATTTGTTCCTGCATAATATCGGTCACAGATATTGCCTAAGTTAAATTTACCCTTTCAAGACAGACATCTTTGTCTTCTAAAGATAAATCAAATTCTAATAATGTTTTTCTCTCCAAAATCATGTTTACTTAATAGCAGTAGCATTTAGATTTATATTCCGCTTCACAGTGCTTTACATCCCCCTCTAAGCTGTTTACTGGGTCAGCATATTGCCCTCAATAATCTGGGTTCTCATTTTACCAACCTTGGAAGGATAGAAGGCTGAGTCAACCTTGAACCGGTGAAAATCGAACTGTTGGCAGTTGGCAGAATTAGCTTGCAATACTGCATTCTAATCCCTGTACCAGTATGGCTCATATAGAAGTCTCATATTTAACATTTGCTAATTTAAGTAATCTTAATAATGTATGGAAAATACAATAAGGACTTTCTGCTTTCTTACTGTGCCTATAAGGACTAAGCCCTACTCTTTTTATATAATTATATAGAATTTTAATTGTAATTATTACTGTCTTTTCTTACAGTCTTAAAGAGTATTCTTACCTATAATAAAGAATTTCCCTTTGATGTTCAGCCTGTTCCACCAAGGTATGGAAAAATTACATGCAGAAAGAACCTATGTCGGAAATTGCAAAATTTTCATATGTCAAAGGGTCAATAGATTTTACCAATTACTGGATTCTATAGCTCTATATTGGTGTATTTCAAGTTTTATTTATACCTTTTGTAAAAGAAGTTAGAAATCATTTCATTTTTATCCTATTTTTCTATAGCTTGTTTTCTGCACTCCTATTCCCTGTCTTTCTCTTTAGTGTTTCTCTCTGTCTATCCTTCTTTCTGACTAATTATGATTGTTAGTTTTTGTCTTCATGTTCTATAAAAATGTAACAAAGTTATATTAAAAAAATGCAAAATATAGGTCTGCAGAATGTAGCAGTTTTGAAATTCAATTCTAATCTTCTGATACTTGAATGGAGGCCATAAATATACTGTAGGTAGTCCTCGACTTATAGCCATGATTGACCCCCAAATTTTTGTTGCTAAGTGTTAAGTGAATTTTGCCCCATTTTATAACCTTTCTTGCTACGGTTGTTGAATGAATCACTGCAAATGTTAAATTAGTTATATAGTTAAGTGAATCTGACACCCCCATTGACTTTGCTTGTCAGAAGGTCGCAAAAGGTGATCACATGACTTCAGGACACTGCAATCATCATAAATATGAACCAATTGCCCAGCATCTGAATTTTGATAACAAGATTATGGGGATGCTACAATGGTCGTAAGTGTGAAAAAGGCTGATAAGTCACTTTTAAAGTGCTGTTGTAACTTTGAACGGTCACTAAATGAACTGCTGTAAATTGAGGACTACCTGTATTCCCAGTATTATATTCTGATATAGTGGCAATTCCTATCCAACTCAGTTTTCAGTTGCAGTATGATGTTTCCCTTTTTTAAAAGAAAAATATTAGCACCTGGTGAAGAGGAAGATTTAGAATTTGAAGAAGATGAAGAGGAAGGTGGAGCTGGAGCAGGATCTCCAGATGCATTTCCTGCCAGAGTCCCAGGTAAGAGGCCAAAGTGAATAAAATTATAATTATCCAGAAGAGGAAAAAATGAGAATGTTAGAATTACAGTTAGAAACAGAGAATGCAAGGACTGGAAGGGGCCTTGAAGGTAATCTAATCCAGTCACTGACCAGTGCAGGAATTCATACTTACAGCCATCTAGCCACCACTACCTCCTATTGTTAGATTTGTTGTTGTTGTTGTTGTCCAGTTAAAATCTATTTCTTGTACTTTAAATCCATTGTTTCTAGTTTTGTGTTCTGGAACAGTTTTGTCCCATCTTCTGCTGATATTTGAAGATAGCTGTCAAATCTCTGTAAAGTTTTCTGTTTCCAGGTTAAACATACCCAGCACCTTCAAATGTTCCTCATAGGTTTTTCTTTTCCAGGCCTCTTTTCTCCAACCTTATGCAAGAGTTATTGGGGGGGGTGGGGGATCTGCAATTGGATGTTTGTTTGCTAAACCTCTTTCTGAATAAAGAGCATCTCAGCATGCCCCTGCTAGAATGCCTGTGTGCCAAGATTTTATGAAATGCCATTATTTCTGAACTAAAAACTGTTGTCCCTTATCATCTGGAGGTAAGGTGAAGGACAGAGAGCAAAGCAGAAACATGGAGTTTTCTTAGAAAAGCCTGCCCAATATCAAGCAAGCTTGCTTTGTGAAAATCTATACTAATTTTGTCAGCTCTCAAATTCAGATAGGATTTGAAATTTATCATTTTATCAAGGCATAATCCCTATGGAAATTGGTGCTTCATATTTATTTATGTATTAGCCAGTGGTTAAATAAGTTTATTGATTATAGATCTTTACTAAGCAGAAAAAATGACAGGGTATGATTTAAGCATGGCTAGTGTGCAAACCCAGGAAAGGCATGGCTTCCCTGAGAGGTACTGAGAGGTGCAGTGAATGCACCCTACACTCACTCCAAGCTAGTTTTTCCTTTTTTGGATCCTAATTTCTGATAATTTGGCTTAAGTGCCAAATTGATTGCACAAAAGTTAATCAGGGCTACAGGCTAGCATGGATAAGGCAAAAAAGCACGAATGTTTTTTTTTTTTTAAAGAGAGGGGCTCTATGTTGGTGAATATTACCTTTCTTCTACAATTCCCCCCCACACCCGAAAATATACCCCATGCAACGATCGTGGTTTAAAAGTAGCCCCAGTTGTATATTTATAAAAGCTCTGAAAGGAAAACCTGTTATTTGCAATTAGTTGCTGATTAAAAATATGTGCCTCTTGAGGCTTGAAGTAAAAGCCTGATGTGGCCAGGAACTGTGTGATATTTTTTTTAGTCATACTTAGCCACTAGCTGGAGTTTTCAAACTTGATTTAAAAACTTGGGGGGGGGTGAAAACACTAAAATTGACCAATTTTGCACAGCAGTAAATGGTTTTTAGGAAGTGTCTGAAATAAGTGACATAGTTCAATCGGACAGTAGCCTTATGCCAGTGAAACAGCACTAGTTGAAGTCAATACCCATTGCAATTTGCTTTGTACTAACCAAATGTATTCTAGGGGACTTAAGATCTTTAAGATCTTATGAAGCTAAAAAAGGAAGAGTTGATAAACTTTATACTGGTTCTGTTGAAAGTCCATGTATATAATATTAGATTTAGCACAATAATCCCTTTCATTACAGTATATGATCATCACTGTTTTCTACAGTATGTTCATTGCCATGTCTGAAATAGATAAACTTCCAACACGAGCTTCAGTTCCAAGAAATTCTGTTTTGGGGATATATTCATGTATTCCACAAGTAGACTTTTCCCATGAACCCGCACGCATCATTCAGTTCTCCAGATAAGAATAATTGGGTACAATCCTGACATATGTATGCCGATTAAAGTGAATAAATAGAATTTTGTAATAGTTGAAATACCATGGTGCTGAGATGATGCCATTTAAAAATGAACTTTGAGATAGCTTACACATTATGGTACTAGTTTTAGGAGACTGTTTTCCTGACATTGTAACTTCCATTGTATGTACTTCATTGTACAATTTGTTTCTTTTCACGGATCCCATATTGTATTATTTTGCTGCCTAATCATTCATGGTCTTGTCTTATCTTCTACTTGCATGGCTCCATTGTGTAACCATGTGCTACATCATTCATCTAATCCAGGAGCCAATGAAGGTATGATGATGTTCTAATGTTAATAGTTGTTGTTTATTAAAATAATCACATTGCTGTTGTTTTATAGTTTAGCATTGTAAATGTGAAAACTCTTTTATACTAAAATCTACCATCTGGCTCTTTCCCCAAAAAATAAATGGTAGATGATGAATGTCTATTCTATAGGCACAGAATCAAATTGTACAAATTTCTGAATTGCTTTTGACATGGAGAAAATCCATCTTTTAAAAAATCAGTTGGCATGTGTGGAGATTGTAGAAAGTTTTTTCTATCAGAAATGCAAGCTTACTTTAATACACTATAAAAGTTCATGCATCAAGAGTGAGCAATAATGTTTTGGGCTTTTGTTCCCAGTGTCATCCATCGTAGCCAATGGCTTATAGAATTTATCATCTAGAAGATTAGTTTTGGCATTTATGTCATGTTCCAGCAGTGGTGCTACTAAAGAACCTGGGTTTCACCATAAAACAAAAAAAATCAAATGTCCCTTTCAATAAAGAAGATTGCATGGTATCAGAATTTCCTGTGTTTATTGTTTACAGTAAACTTTAAACATAGTAAGTTTCAATGTCCTTCACCCATGTCTCACCTCTGAATATATGTATCATAAGTTAAAAACCACAAATCTAAAATATCTGGAAGGTAATTACATTGCCTGTCTCTGGATTGTGAGGTGCTACAGACGTTGACTCTGACAATAATTCTGCATTTGGCTTTGACTCTTCCCCAAATTGGTATTTAGCAAGTGGTTTTAGTCTATATTCGAAAAGAAAAGCTTTATGTCTACTCTTGGCTCTCTCCCAGCTGTTAAGTACTTAACTACTTGTCTTGTCATGATGCATATGTTTCTGTGTTTATTTGCTCAGGCAATTCAGGTGACAAATTATTTGCGCAGAGAATTGAATAGATAATAGTTCCTTGACTCTTCTTGTTCAACTATGAAAAGGATCCTACTTTTCCAAGATGCTGTAATTTACAATCAGATCATATGAATAAATTATGCCAGAGATTGTGTCTTATGATGTTATTATCAGATATCCGTTTGTTGACAGGATTAATAACGAGAGAATGAAAGTATTAAAAATGCTGAATAACTTTATTATTTTGGTCTATTTTTCCCTTAGGTACTTTATTACCCAGATTACCCTCTGAACCCGGGATGACATTACTAACTATCAAAATAGAAAAAATTGGTCTTAAAGATGCTGGGCAGTGCATTGATCCCTATATCACAGTTAGTGTGAAAGGTAGGTATATTTTTCTTAATTGATTTGGCTAGGCATATAATTTTGGTCCTTTTTATCCAGTATTAGCTAGAACTGAATTGGCAAAATATTCCACTATGTAATCAGCATTTAGAATTTAAAATATTGACATTTGTCATACTGGATTTCTTTCCCCCATGGAAACTCTTCAACATGCTGTCTTTCTAGAACTGCCTTGTCTTGACTCCTTGCAAGATTTAACATGTGAAAACTCCTGTAAGTCACTTTTGATTTAGCATACAGAGTTCTTGAAATTTAATCTTCCACTTACATATCAGCTAATTTAAGACAATTTTTTATAGATTAACCTCTCCTGAATAGTGAAAGGGTATAGTTAGTTCTCAATCTATTACCATTAAGTTAGTGTCCATTGCTTGTTACAATGATCCTGAATGAATGTTGGTTATGGTGAGTTCTTAGAGTTTTGGCTGTCCCAGCACAGCCTCAGTCACATGATCATGGTCTGGATGCTTGACAACCCATTTGCATTCATTATCAGTTGCCAAGCACTATGCAACCATGTGATCACCATTTGCAATGCTACCTACTGGCTTCCCCAGAAAGTCAGAGGGGAAGCTGGCAGGGAAAATCACAAATTTCTGGGTAATAGTATCCCACCTACGCACTCTCACCTAGCCCTCCTGTGCATCTTCTCCCAACACTCTGCACACACTGCACTCATGGCAGAACCCACACATCCTTTCCAACCATGTAGCACCTCTTGCACACCCTCCCCAATCTGTGCCTCTCGTGCACTCAACTTGCACCAAACCTCTTCTACACTTCTGCCATGTCTCACGCATACCATCCCCCATGTCTGCATTGCAGCTCTATTGCATTCCATAGCAGCTTCCTCAACTTGTGTGGCACCTCTCACAACACCCTTGCACCCTCCCTGATCTGGGCATCACCTCCCACACACCTCATTCACCCTTCTCAGTAGCGCCTCACTCCCTTCTCCACTTGGCAGCATCCACTTATTTGTCTGCCAGGCTTGTACCCTTTCCTGCCTGATTTTGGTTGTGGAAAGCTGGGAGGAAGGTGCCTCACCTAATGACCATGGGATTTAGTTAAGAATGGCATCTGGGACTTCAGGGATTGCCCTTATTAAGCAATGCCATTGTACTTTACAACCACATTGCTTAATGTTGGAAATTCCATCCCAATTGCCGTTAGAAGTCAAAGACTACCTGTATTAAAAGATTTGCATCACTTTTTTCAAAAAACCTTTGTTAAGAAATTGCTTTTTGGCCACATTGATTCGAATTGGAAATTCTAGTCCCAATTGACATTGCAGGTGAGGACTATTCATATTAAATGGTTTCCATCCGCTATTTTTTCAAGGAGCCTTGGTTAAAAGTTGGGTTTGTCCCAAGTCTACTTCATTTCTGTTCACTAAATGTTCCTCTAGCCTGCACACATGATCAAGTCTGTATTGTAAATACCAAATACTTCATTACTTTGGAAAGCATGTGTTACCTTTCTCAGAGAATGTGCACTGGGAAGGCCAAATAGGCAATGTTACTTTACCATAGCGACACCACAATATTGTTTACTCATGATCACTACCATGTTCTTGGAAGTGACATTCCTGTAAAGACTCTTGTGTAAATATATTGTTTGAACTGTTTACAAAAAGAAGCAATCTTTGTAACACTTAGACTGTTAGATCATGAATGTAATGACCCTGGGAAGTACTCCTTGTTCAATATACCAAATGTCACAACAATTTTTCCCCTGTTTAATGCTTAAATTTTATTCTCGGGACAGATCTCAATGGGATAGATCTTACACCTGTACAGGACACCCCTGTTGCTTCAAGGAAGGAGGACACTTACATTCATTTTAATGTGGACATTGAAATTCAGAAACATGTTGAAAAATTAACAAAAGGTTTGTTGCATGAAGATTTGAAAATCATGTTGAACTGTGATCAATAGGACAAAGCAATAACTTGGAGAGAAGACAGTTGTGCTATCCCCAGAAAAATGTGGTTACCTTGGTGCCTTAACCAAACTACTCAAAACTTTTTAAAGATGTTATTTGTGATTTGGGATGGGGGTAGATCAAAAGACAGTGGCTTCAAAGTTCTTAGGTTGATTCTTTGCAGAGGTTCAGAATCTTCAATGAGGATCATTTTTCCTCAAGGCAGTTCTAACAATATTGTATTAACTATGCTAATCTATAAAGAAGTACAGTGATGTAATTTGAAGAATGTTTTAGATTTTTTTTCTCCTACCTTTCAGGTGCAGCTATTTTCTTTGAATTTAAACACTATAAACCCAAGAAAAGGTTCACCAGCACAAAGTGCTTTGCCTTTATGGAGATGGATGAAATTAAAGCTGGACCAATCGTTATAGAACTGTAAGTAAGCATGTGCATGAAACACAACAGACAATGTATTCCAGAACATCTGCTAAATTCTTTCAGATCAGTCATGGTTGGTCAGAAACAAAACTTGAAATGTTTTGGTCCCAGGTTTTGGTGCAAATCAAATTAGGGGTAATTTTAATATAGCAAGTATGACAGAATCAGTATGCATCACCTTTTCTGATCATCAGTGATGCATGTGTTCATCCACCTGCCTACTATCTTCTCAGTATCTCCTCTCCCCACTCTAGCTACTGCTATGTCCCATTGGCAAGAAAATCCCTTACATACTGTTGTGTTTTCCCCAGAGCTGTGTATTTCAATCCATATTCAGAACAAAACATTTCTGCTTTATTCCGTGTACAGCCAAAATTTGAGTTTTAGTTGAGGTATGGACTGCCCAAAAATAAAAATTGCATGCATATCTCTAAATGTAAGTAAAATTTTGCATAAAGCAAGCATCCATATTTGCTCTTATACAAATGACATATGGTTAAAAGTTATCCTTGGAAAGTAGTGTACTTCATTAACTTTTTTCCTGAATATGAAGAGAAATGCTAAGCTTCCATAATGCTTGATTTGTATATTATTTTATGATAGCTGAGCAATATCTTAGCTTTGAACCCAAATAAAAGTTTAAAGATCTGAAGAAGAGTTTTTTTCCCCCCTCCAAAATGTAATATTCAGAATAGATATTAGATTGTGTTTGTGATTCTGAAACCATTTTAACTGCTTTGGCTTAATTTAGAAGAAAATTGATAGACAGAAAAGTGAAAGAATGATTATCTGAATAATTAGTATAGAACAAATTTTGAGACAGTTTTATACCAGACAAGTGCCATTGAATTTAAATGGGACAATTATTGTGGAGGTACAAATTAGGATTAAGAGTTGTATTCATTTTACCTAGCTGCTCAGATTATACAAAATCCTTTTAAGTAAGAAAAGAATAATCGGGGGTAGGTTCCTAAACAGCATTAAGATTAATTCCGATATTTACTATTTTTATCATTATAGGTACAAAAAACCCACTGATTTCAAGAGGAAGAAACTTCAGTTGTTGACCAAGAAGCCATTTTATCTTCATCTTCATCAAACACTGCACAAAGAGTGACTTTTGTGAACTGAACCACTTGCCACAAAATCATAGTAGCTGCATATGTAGCACTTGTCTTTCAGGAGGAAGGAAGAATTGGATGCATTTACCTTGTGGTCACAAATGACCATCAATGCTGCACAGCAGTGGATCAGCAACCATGCTCTGCATCCAAGCCCAGTTTCTTTGGAATGTATATTTTTTATCTCAGATGTTCCAAAGTGTGTTGCAAGTTTTTCATAAGTTGGCCGGTTATTAAGTTCAGTTCTGTAACTTGATTTCTACAGTTATATCAGAACCCTTAATTAAAGCAGTTGAGGAATTCTCACCTGCCAAACCTAATACAGCAATAAAGATATGCCAGTATCAAAAAACATTTAATCTTCTACTGTATTTTGTTTGTATCATTTTCCTAAGTTCATTACATTTATAACGTATTATTACCATTCGAGTTTAATTATATAAAATGTCAAAAAGACACTTCCACACACACACACTCCCACATGTTGCATCCATTTTTTTTTTTTTTAAAAAACTTGTTTTTCTCAAGATTTAGGACTGGAATTACCAGTCATAAAATTATGCTTGTTCTGAAAGTTAGTAAACTCAATACAGTTAGTCTTCATCTTACAACAGCAATTGGGCCCAGAATTGCCATTGCTAAATGATTCAGTCACATAGTTGTGCAAGTCACATTACCACTTTGCTTAACAATGGCAATCCAAGTTGTCCTGGTTATTGTCATTAAGGGGGGACCTCAGGTGACCTTGACTTCCAACTTCCTGCCAGTTTTCCCATTGACTTTGCTTTTGGGAAGCCAGCAAAGAACATCGGAAATTATGACATGTGACCATAGCTCACGGTAACATCATAATCATGAGCCAGGAACTTGGATCACAATCATGTGACCATGGGGACAATGTAATGGCCACAACTCCAAGGGCCCATAATATAGTAAGTACCATTCATTCATTCAGTTCTATCATAATTTTGAACAGTAGCTGGATGAATGGTCATAACCCAAGGGCTACCTGTATACTTGTTCCAGATAATTTCAACTGCTGTAGAGTTTTACTATTGGGAATAGTCTAAAACTAATAGTTTAATTTTTTAAAGAAAAACTGGATGATTATAAAAGAAAAGAATCCATCCTAAATTGCTCTAAGAAAAAAAAGCTGAACTGTGCTTCAAGTTTCTAAGTTTATACTGCCTTATGTGCATAGAAATGCTATCTACATGAAGGGGATGTACAAATGTCATGAATTATGCATATTATTTCTGGATATTAATATCTAACAAATACGTTTTAAACAAGGCTGCATCTTTCATGGTTATAATTAATTCTGTACTGGAATATAGGAGACTGATGATTATTAACAGTAATATATCATTTACTACAAACCAATGTTTCCTAACATTGGCAAGTTTAATAAGCATAGACTTCAACTCCCAGAATTCCTGAGTCAGCATGCTTGGCAGCAATATTGGAAAGTTTAAGATATCCACACATCTTAAACTTGCTGAGGCAGGAAACACTGATTTAGATTACCAATTCCCCACCATCCAGTCAGACTGAAGAAGCTTCTTGGATAAGAAGTGAAACATCTTCAAAGAAAAACCAGAAAGCCCAGGTGCCTCTTGAAAAAAAAAGACAATAGAACAGGATGAGATAATGCCATCACATCTTTGTTTTCATAAAGCTAATTTTTCTCGAAATGAATGATTCCAAACTCTTTCCTGAAGTACTGATACTAGCTAGGTGTCCTCCATCCTAACCTCTCCACCTGACTGCTTTTTCTATTGAGTCTCTACTAAACCTTTTGGTTATTTTCATTTCTTTCTGTATCAGGATCATTTTGAATTTTTCCTACAGTCATAGCTATTCCATCCAAATTTGTACTGTATCATGTACAAATGTGATGGGGATTCTCATCCTGTTCTCATCCAAGTAATTGATAACGTGTAAGAGTAAAGACCCTGAGACTGAATCTTGCAAACATTAGAATAATAGTATCTACAAAATTTCCACATTGTATTAAGGAAGTGAGCTCATTTTTTTAAAAAATGAACTAGCCAGTAATCTTATCTGCTGACATTTTTTTCAAGGCAATTGCATGTTAATCACTTTTTTAAATCGGCCACTATAGCTTTTCTGAGTAGAAATGGCAGATTAATTACCCTGTAGTTCCAAGGGCATTTGCCGTCCCTACTCTGACCTTCACATGTTCTCCAGTATTTCTCAAATACATGATAATTTGGCTAAACTATCAGCAAGTTCCTTCAGTATTCTAAAGTGCAATCTGGACAGATACCAACATTCCAATACCATGTTTCTGTATCTCAGGCTTCCAGTATGTCCCTTCAACCTACTTTTTGCATTTGCTTTATGAAATGTGTAGCCTGTTCATGGGGAAGATTAAGCCAAAATAAAAATTGGTAATAACGTCTTTATATTAGCTCATCTTCATTTACCAAGTGAATCTTTATTTTTAATCTTTCTAAAGAAGCCATTTGCCAGTTTTTAATATCCATTCAACCAACATCTGTTCATGTTGCATGTTACTTGCCTAAGACTTAGCACATAGCACTTAGACTTCTATACCGCTTCACAGTGCTTCACAGCCCTCTCTAAGTGGTTTTACAGAGTCAGCATATTGTCCCCATCAATTTGGGTCCTCATTTTACCAACCTCTGAAGGATGAAAGGCTGAGTCAACCTTGAGCCTGATGAGATTTGAACTGCCAAATTGCAGGCAACTGGCAGTCAGCAGAAGTAGCCTGCAGTACTGCACTCTAACCACTGCACCATCATGGATCATGGTGACTCAATAGAAGACTGACTATTATTCCAGGCTACATATTCCTCATTGTGACCTCTCCAACATAAACTTTTTGTGCAGCAGTACTGGCTTTTCCTGTTTTATTTTCATCTTGTTGGAATTCTTTGGAACTGTGTTGTTATTACTAACTTCTTAGGAACTTTTTATGATCAGCTAAATGGCAATTGTTTTAATAGAATTACAAAGAAAATAAGCAAACATGGGGCATGTCTGATAAAAAGGAATTAAAATGTCTTTACACAATGATGCATGTTGGATCATTATTCTAAAAATATGATACAAGGTAAAGGTTCCCTCGCACATATGTCCTAGTTGTTCCTGATTCTAGGGGGTGGTGCTCATCTCCATTTCAAAGCCAAAGAGCCAACATTATCCAAAGACATCTCCGTGGTCATCTGGCTGGCATGACTAAACGCCAAGAGCGTCCGGAATACTGTTACCTTCCCACCAAAGGTGATTCCTATTTTTCTACTTGCATTTTTTATGTGCTTTCAAGCTGCTAGGTTGGCAGAAGCTGGGACAAGTATCAGGAGCTCACCCTGTTACGCGGCACTAGGGATTCAAACCCAAATATGATATATTTGGCCTTTAAAACAGCTTTGGACACAAGTCCCTCCTTTGCAAACTCAGGAACCATGGAAGAAAAAGGGGCACTCACCTAGATTGGCAACTGATTAAAAACAGACAGTGAGCAGAAATGGGCAATTCTTGCGTTGATGAGATGCTCAAAGTGAGGTTTCCCAGAAAATAGTTCTGGGATCATTCATTTGTACAGAAAAAACTCATTTGTTTAATTCATTTATTTGATCCCCCAGAAGATTGACGGAGCAGAACACTGTCTTAATTCTGATCTAACCCAACACGTTAACTGATAATTTATATTGCCCTGCTATGAAAACAATGAGTTTACAACCTCCGCTGTTCTCTGACTTGATTCAAAAGGAGGTAACCCAGAGATGAAAATAAAGTACTTCTAAAAAAAAAGCAAGACATGATATGCTGTGTGCAATCATAGGACAGACTGTCAAAACAACTGAAAATTGACAACCTGCTGGCATCCAAAGCTCAATTTATTCTCAGAATGGTTTATATTTATTGCCATTAAATAATAGGTATGAAAAATTAACCTTATTAGAAGTATAAGCTAAATTTAGATGCCAGAGGAGAAAACTATTTCCAGCAACAACCACACACCAGAAAATAAGACTCAAAGCCAACTCTGAGATAGTATGAATGAGTATAAAGTAACAATTGATTTTTATAGCTATAACAATACCTTTAGCTGCACAAACTGTGCTTTCTATTTTTAAACAACTGGATAAGATTTATAACAAAAAAATGAAAACAAGTTTTTAATTGGTTTACACATAACTGTTCAGAAGCCACAATAGGCACAGAACATTGAAGTTAACTAAACTGGTTTAGAAAAATAATGTGGCTGGCCATATAGAAAGAAAAGTCTTCAATTAGACAGTGGACATAATAGAAAAGAACAAAATAAATTCAAAAGGGAAATGAAGCCCTAGGGAATCTTATTCTGTTCCACTCTTTAAGCAGTAAGAACAAATGTTTTTAATAATGTTACTAAGTTTTATCAAAATACAAAAGAAAATTGAAACAGTGGGACAATGCAGGAGGATAAAGAGAAGAGAAAAAAGTGCAGGGGAAAGGGGAAAAAAAGAAAAACATTGACTTCCAACTCCTTTTAACAAAGTAGAATAAGATAGCAACATTACAGCCTCGACCTTTTACTTTTACATACTAATATGTACTAGTCATTTCTATAACAAGAAGTTATCTAATCAGCAAAACCCAATGTCAAGCAATAAGAACAAATTTGATGTCAGGGCAACCTAATGCTCTTACAGATTAGAAGGATCAGCTTTAAGAGAAGAAAATGATGTTCACATAAAGTGATTACTAAATTATCTGTGAGAGCTGATACAATATCAAATTTACTGTGATGATATGGGGAATATAGAATAGTTACCATCTTATTATGCTGGGGATAGAATGACTAAATTTACAAAAACCACTTTTCCCTCAATGATATTGCAAGAATTGAGAAAATTCCACATAATACCAATTAAGAGTCTTTTAGGTTATCTTTACTGGAACCTTATCACTTTTTCCTTGAAAGGAGAAAGAATATTTTTGTGATTTAGAAAAAAAAATGTAAGTACAACACAGAGATTAGAAGAGGAACAGAAATCTTCTCAATGTCATGAAGTCCTCTCTCCATCAAGGCCAATTTTAAATAAACATTCTCTGAGAAGGGAGGGAGCTGAATGTCAAAATCCTCGTGAGGATGAGTGACTAACTCCTTTATTGCCCCCCACCCCAAGCAAAGACCGGAAACACTAAAAAAACCTCCCTATTACCAATGTTATATCATTGATCTCACCGAGATTAAGTCCAAAGAAGTCAGATTTGGCATAAACAAGAGTCTTCTGCTCATGATGACAGGAAAAAGAATAATTTACTGCCTCCAAAAATATTTTTTTTTTTTTGTTAGATCCAGAATTACTAACCAAA